AATCCGTTTCGGCGGAAAATCTAAGACTAAGACTAAGATTTAGATCTAAAACTTTAAACGTGATCCCAGCTTCAACTGAAATCAATTTAACAAATTGTTTAACCCAATTCTTCGCGAAAGCGTGTGTGTGTGTGTGTGTGTGTGTGTGAGTGTGTGTGTGATTCACCCCTATCCGTGGTCCGCCATCACCACACCCGTGCACGTATAAAGACTGTGACATAAGTCATTTCTGTTTTTATCACATTAGGCTGATATTTTAATACCTTACCTGGGCCCACTTGCACAACGCGATCTCAGCGCTAAGATGATCTCAACTCCCATACTTTAACATAGGCTTACAATACTTACAACAACCAAGATCTTCTCAACTGAACAAGTAAAGTCAAAATATTTGCTTCACTTTACATTATCCTCATTAGCCCCCTCCACACGCAGCCCAGACAGCGAATGGGACTTCTCCCAGGCAGCGCTGCCTAGTCAAACCCACCAAGCCCCTTTATGCCGAGCGCCAGACAAAACGTGCCATCTTTTAACGTCTTTTGTTATGACATGGCCGGAGATCGAACCCCGTACCTTCCGCTCGCCGGGCGGACGCTCTACCACTAGACCACGGAGGCGATCTGTAAGAGTGAGAGTGATTTGGGACTGATGCCGATATTGAAGAACAGGGCACCGCGTATGTTTGTTTGGTTGTATTAAACGCCGCATTCAGCAAGATTCAAGCTACAGGACGACGGTCTGTGAATAATCGATATCACGAGCACCGATCCACGCAATTCATCCTGGTATACGATGATATGCATGAATCACGTCAGCGAGGATGACCATCCGGTCCCTTCAGTCGCCTCTAAAGACAAGCATAGTCGGCTTTTATGGCAAGCATGGGTTGCTGAAGACCTATTCTACCCCCGATCGTCACGGGTTGTGGTTACATCTAGGTGTTGCAGTTTTGAGGAGTTCCATCGGGATTTCATTGTACTCAATTCATAACAGCAAGTGTCAAAGTAAATTCATTTAATGCTTTTGTTTAGTCCTAATCTTATCCTGTTTCTACTGTATTTTCTCGTTGTTCTTCACAATTAGAACGTTGTCAGCTTATTCATAAAAAGATCATCCATATCTTTCTCGTCTGTTTTCTTTGAAATAGTGTTAAATCACGCTGTTTATCGGTACGTGTTTTGGTGCACACATTATTTCTCGTAAATATTATGGACAAATAATTATTTACTGTCCCATTTCCACATGCATGACATCAAGTTGTCATTAAAGACAGCATATCATTGGTGAGATTTATTTTATCAAAGCATATGTCATCTTAACTTTACTAAACAGCACTATTTGAAATCCTGGACTTCCACATATCTTTGTGAAATTTGGGGATAGGGCAGGACGCAGGCACTCCCATGGACACAAGTTACACTCACCTCCTTGCTCGACCGTTATGCATACAAGTCAGTGCAAAATCAAATCAAGGGATTTAGCCACGAAATCTAACCAATCTGATATCGATCAATTATTGTCAAACAGCCAGTTCCCTTTCCCTGGTTTACCCATCTGAGCTAGGAATAAAAAGGTCCAGTGAAACCGCTTCATCAGTTTCACATTTAGATTGATGCACACATACAAATATTTAAGAACCATTTGTGAAGGTGCTGTGAATAATGCTTTGCTTTCTCTATTTGCTCTCTACGTGACATAGCAATCGGCTTATTACATAACTGCCAGCAGTAGGGTTACCAGGGCCAACACAGAGACAACACAAATAAGAGCAATCATTAATGTATAGACATGTTAAACTCAAGAGACATTTTGTCTATTGCGCCGGTGAGCTCAATACGTGCAAGCGTAATGCCTACGTCAAGAGATGCCTGAAGATTACACTGCACTCAGCACGAAATACCTTCAACGTACCGCGGTCAAGTTATGTGAATACTGTGAACGTGAACCAAGAGACAACCGATGAGCATCACTGGCACGGTAGGGTAAAATTATAAGTTAAATTGGTTTTAGGTTCCTAATAGCTGATGTGTAATTATTCATCTTTTGAGAGTATATATAGCTTGTGTCTGATTCAAGCCGCGTAGTAAACATGTTGTATTCGAGCAGCAGTGAATCTTACTCCAATATAGATTGCTACCAAAAAAGGTGATCATGATTTCCTGATAGTAATCTTGTGAAATGCATTGTTTGGTGGATGTTGTAAAGTATTTTATCTTGAATCATAGGAAATTATCCGTGTTGCTCATGTCTATATATAACTAATAGCTACGCAATATATTGTTGTTATGTCCGTCTCAAAATCATCATATTTTACAATGTATTGCTATCCCCTGACCGTCACAAGGTCCAACCGACCTCTGTAATTGATAGTTCAAGGATATTTCCACAAATGTGCACATCTTGCTGTAAATCAACGTACGAGCTATGCATGTATCCTAACGTATTGTAAACATGCGTGAAATGCTATCATTGTAAAAAGAGATGTAGTTAAATTTTATTTTTGCATTTGAAAGATATGCTTATTCAAACAACCAGAAAATATGCCACGTCTACTTTATCAAACACGGTAACTAATACATTATCTTACTAGTTAGTATAGGACCATAACAATTTATATAAACTACATGTATGTAAACCTTTTACATAAGAAATCGATATGTCAGTTGGACTTGTTAGGCTTATGGTCGGTTACAGAAAATGACGCTTCAGACAGGTAATTATAGTTTTTATTTAAAATGTGCGTATCTCCGAACCACAGTGGCAAGGGATATTATCTCAGTATATGTGAATGCCATGCAAGTCATTAAGAGGCAGCCTTCCGGAAGGAGTACACTGATTTCTGGCGCCAAATGAACAAAAGCTACATTCTACTCTGTCAGTTAAACGTGGACCATCCACGACAGTTTCACGTTGTATACTTGGAATAGACCATGAAGGGGGCACGTTCCTGCATGTAGAAACCATGTAAAATGTGTCATTATTTGTCGTCAGATTTCCAACTCACCATGTATGGTCAGTTGCTTGATACATCGTAACGTATCTTGTGTACCGTCAATAAAACAAGAGAATCATCAAGAAGCCTATGTGCTTGTGATCGTCAATATACATAGTGAGTAAGTGAGTGAGTATGGTTTCCTTCCGTCTTTAGCAATATTCCAGCAATATGAAGGCTGGGACACCAGAAATGGGCTTTACACAATATACCCATGTGGATAGTCGAACTATGATCTTCGGCGTCATGAGCTAATGCTTTACCCACAAGGCTACCCCACCACCCCAGAATACAGAGAGAATGAGAACCATGATTGTACAGGCTATTATATTGATATGTTCAGTATGTAGTGGGTGAGTGAGTATAGTTTTACGCTGCTTTTCACAATATTCCAGCAATATCACGAATATCACAAGAAATGGGCTTCACGCATTGTACACATTGGGAATGGAACCCGGGTCTTCGGCGTAACGAACGAACGCTTTAACTAGGAGAGGAATCGGATCAGTGCAAACTAGAGGGCGGGTGGACGGACTTTGACGCTGACGTTAACGGTTCGACAACTTTTTCAAAAGACATTTAGTCATATCATTATGTTTCGTTGGCGTTTATTGTTTTACTGAGTGAGTGATTTGGGTTTTACACCACGTTAAGCAATATTCCAGCAACATCATGAAAAGGAATACCAGAAAGGGGCTTCGCAAAATTGTAGTCATATGGAGAATCGAACCCGAGTGTCGACGAGCAAAGGTGAATCCCACGGACTACCATTTTGGGTGAAATGGCACCGCGTGACGCTGACAGAGCAAGGAGTAAGATGAGGTTTTAACTGGTAATCAAACTTCCTGGTGGGTACAATGAACACGTGATAGAGGAGCTTTAGATCACGTTTCTACTGGCATAAAGAGTAGTTCAGTATTAAGACCTGCTGAGCCATAAAGAAATATTACCCATTATAACAGATTAACGAAAAAGTCTTGAGATAAACTTTGCTCTGTGGATGTATTTATATAGCCATGGGGTGTACTTAAAGCATTAGTGACCGACCATTTGATATTGGGGGAACTGGGATTTTATGCAAAATAATACATTGTCCATCAAAAATTTTGAAAAAATAAATAACTGTGCTTTAGATTGTTCAAAGAAAATAAAAACTGTCTGCAACAAAATTACATTGTGGCAGGGTGTTTTAAGACTTAAAAAAACCCTTCCAACCCCGACCCCCAAACTAATATGGTAGGTCCCTTAGTTCCTCAAGCCGAAAGTCCGGGTTCGATTCGCACATGGGCATAACGTCGTATAAGATATATCATGTCGTTATGTTCTGGAACATTAAGTGTCATTGTACAGGAAAAGACGCAAGTCACTACATACCATAATGCCCTAAAAGAGATAACAGAGAGGTTGATCACCCGACCCAGTGTCTTACGACAAGCAAAGGCTGCTGAAGGTCTAGTCTGACCGAGATCTTCACGGGTCGGGCACCTGATATGAGTACCACCATACCAGATAGAGGATAATAAGGATTTTTCATTTATACTTGAAATGTAGTTATACCTGATATCATTTTACCCAGAGAATATAATATATTCGAACATGATTTAAACCTGGACCGCTACCAATCACCAAGCAAATGAAGTCTTTCACTCCTCCTTAAATAAACGTCGATCAATGTGTGGAGCAAACATTCAATTTTACATTTCACGCAATATACGCAGACCTTCATTATTGCTTATCACGAATACTGCCTCCGGGCTGGCTCCAAACAATGGCGTATCATGGGTAACGTCAATAACAAGAAAGTACATTTCCCAGGGGCTTTTTCGGGAACTTAAAGACAATGTATTTGAACTGATTGAAATATTCATCCAGCCGAAGCACAACATAATTCAATCTTTAGTAATGACGGTGTATTATCTCCACAAGGTAGGAAATCAATACCATTGATTTATTTAAACTCAATTATCCCGTTGCCGTCTGAAGTAGGTACCTGTGTTCACATCGACTTTGGCAGTTAGTCTGTGGGGTCTTCACAACTCGACGGATCAGATTTGTTTCATGAGTATACAAGACACAGTGATATGGTCAACGCCAGCAGTGTTCATTTCTCTGTCTACACTAGAATACTATGTTCGGTTACACACGTCATCACGTCATACCTTACCTGTAAGGTAACCAGCGTTACTAGTGCTAATAATCCAAACGGATGCGATATGAAAACGGACGCTGCACATGTCGATAACGTTTGTCAAGGGATGTCAACCTGAAGGTATCAGACAGAAGAACATCACTTTGAGGTTGCAATACGCGATCAGGTAAAAGTTTATGGTCTGTGCTTTTCGTGCGTGTAGGTGGACTTTTACATTGTTTTCAGTCGTGTAACTGAAAGTTTATTTATACTGACAGGCAACCGTGTTGGCTTTGATGTTTGTCAAATGGATCCATGCAAGCAATAGCAGTGACAGCGACTTTCGATGCCCGGGAGATGAATATTAATCAACACAGGCTTACTCTGTAGCTGGGATATTGAGTCGATGACGTACATCGCAACAGCCATCAGAATTCACACATGTGCTAATGGACGCTTCACAGCGTTTTGTAACAGGTGTTGTTTATCTTATGTCTGGGTTTCACACATATTATGCTCTGAGGATGAAAGCCGGGATCGTGTTTTGATTGAAAGTCCGAGAGAAGTAATCCGATTTTGTCCAGACATACAGACTCGGAAACAGACGCCTGTATGATGTCTGGGATTTGTACCTTGCAGTTTATCATCTTCTTGATGTACAAATCCTCGCATGTTTTGACACTCTCTCTGAGTAAGTTCAGTTCATCATGCTACTATTTTCTACAAATATATCTATTTTAATTCACACGTATTGAGTATTTAGATTTGTCGACTTGGTAACGTACATTAACAAATGAAATAATGTAATGTAATAACATGTTTATCAAGTACCAATGTACACACGCACCCAAGAAACATAAATTTGTGTGAGCATTTGGCAAACAATTGACACGCTGCAATGATTTATTTTGATGAAACCCTTTCACCGTAATTAAACCTGTTGTTTTAATAATACCATTAGTACAATTTATTAAATGTTTCTCTCCATGAAAAACTGATATGTTGAATATGGTAGTTGTTACTTGTTGAATGGTATTGTCAAATGTGATGAAGTGAAGGTGTGCAGAAAAGATCCGTAGGAATAACAGAAAAGCGTCAGTTAATTGTGTGTTTTCAGTGAGTAAAATGGTATATGATTCTATTAGGTTCAGCATCTAATCGGAATACTTTTCCTACCAGATATCTTGCTGAGTATCAAGGAGCATGATAAATGCCCACATCCTGTGGTGTGCCATAGAAATGTATCAGTCAATAGTCAGTTAAATGTGACCAACTGGCTGATCTCGGCTTGGGACCAATTTGCTGCGTCGAAGACAGGTAACATTGTTTCTTATTTAGGATATCGCTCAGTTATCACTTAACATGTATACCTAGTGCTGACGAGTTCGTTCTTACTTCCTTTTCTAAGACTGCACAAAAAGATCCAAAAGGATAAACAGCTTCAATTCAAATATGACCCATTCGACAACTTTTATAATGTATGTAGTTATATCGGTACATATGTCCTAGTGGCACAGTTACGGCAATGGTTACGTTCATGAGTTTCAGTGAGATCGGTACATGGGGACGTGGTGATTCTAGCATCGCTCTCTCCCTGTCAACATCACTTCAGTCCCTCCTGCCACGGGAATGACATCAACATCAGCCTCTGCTCCGTGGTCTGCCCCGCCTTTCTATCCAGCCATAGAATGTACATTCAATCAGTGTTCAGCGTCACAAACACAAAGCAGTCCTACTTTAATGCCCTTACAAGACCCGATTCAATGGAGGTTGTCATGAGAGGAATTAATTTGATACTCGGTCATGTGAAATGGAAGACGTTCGTTGTTATAACGTCATCCTATGAAGGTAGGATATACAACAATCCACGTTATCCAAAATCCTGTGACAATGATTAAGGAGCATGGCCAGATATTATATAGTATTCTCCTAAAGTAACATTTCTTGCAATTGACAACTGTCAACCACGGATATACTACGCAATTTCGGACACAACAGACATTTATGGATATAAATACAACTTCGGATGCAACAGTCAATTTTGCATATGGCTTACAACTTCAGCCACAACAGTCAGTCACGGACAGTGTACAGAAATTAGTATAAAATTCGCCATTCAACAAAGCTATCATTGTACTTAGACGATAGTAACTGGCATGACAGGTAAAGCTAGGCTGTCAATTGAGTGGGGCCCTTTAACATAAATCTGAAATTCCCTATCTGCAGACAAGATCACTTGCGTTAGACCTCAGTGTGGAGTAAGATATGTTTTGGGTAAATTTATTACTTCAATGATAGCCGTCTCCTCCCAGTCGAAGTAAACCATTAACCATTTAACAATGAAAATATTATAGTACCCTCTTGGCAATTATTTTATTATATGACAAATTTATATTGAATCTTGTAACTGACTATCCTATCAGAACATCAATATTAAACACATACACAAAGAAAGCTATAACGGATATAATACCTACCAAATTACGTTATCAACAGTTTTGACTACCCTGTCTGGAGGTAGACTGGCTTCTCTCAAGTTACTGCTGTATATGATAGATGATCCCAATAAGCCACAAGAAAGTATTGACCTCTCCAGCATATACCAGCTGCTTCCAGAAAAGGACCTCAACCTTCTTGTGATGTGTCCCTCCGATTGTATACAGAAGCTCCTTAATCAGGTAGTGCCTGCAAACTTCAGTTTGACCCACAATAACCATTACTCAGCCTTCTTTCACAACGTATCAACGTTCATTATTGCGCATATTAAACTTCCAGAACGAGATTTTACAATGATTATAACATCAACAGTAACCGCAGGAAAGATGGAACTCTATGTATGGGAATGCAGAGTTCCTGAAACTTTACACCTGTTGTAAGGAATATTAATGTGTTCCATTTTGTTACGTATTTCGCACATTTTGTAGAAATATTTGAATTAGGCATAAGGGTTAGGGATATATTTATGAAGACCATATAATCAATTCTATACTGCATGGACTCTGATTGGAAATGGATATATTATGGAAACGAAGTACAGAATTGGTTATATGACGTACATAACTGTTTATTGTCAGGCTCGCTTGCTGGAATCGAACATGTCAGTGACGAGGGCATCTGGGGTCTCACAGTGGCTGGTGGTTCCTTCTTCTGGAAATGTCATGGACATTGCACACAATCGTGAACCATTCAAAACTGATGATGTTGTTTTCCTGGAGTTCAATCCGTGCTCTAGGTATTATTCACCACTGGTAAGCAACTGTGGGTTTTGGGTGTATCGTATAGTAACCATTCGGGCTGCAAACCTTCAACAGAACAATTATGTCACTAAATAATTATTGTTATTCATGGGAAATGAATTTCTTGGAAAAAAGAAAATAATTTGAATGTTTCTATGGATCATTATAATGTGGATATGTATTTTCAATCCCCCGAGGAAAAGGATTTACATCAATAATTCCAATTGAATTCCTTCATCAGAATCAATAACCTTGTAAATTGCAAAGTACATATATTCCGTATATTTAATGATGTGTTAGCTCCTGTCATATTTACAGAACCTGGAGATGATCACGAAGCATTTGTCAAGCTTGGAAAAGATTCTTATGACAGCTCAAGCGGCTGACAAAATACAATGGATACAGAAGGTATCTGTTTTCAATAGGGTGACTCACATGGGGATCGAATGGCCACAGTGCCCTCATTAACTGTTTGAACATTGTGATTTAAGCTCACTTTATGTTCTAACTAGCCGTCACATGTAAACCTGTCCTAAGGTCTATTCAGGCTTATAGTTCCAGGCAATACATAAGAACTTTGTAAAATCACTTTTATTAGCTCATATATATACACTGCATAACTAGGGTAAGGCGTTACAGATGTGTGGCCTGACTTTAAAGCCCAGCTTATACGGCTGTATTGTCTGGCTACGATATACCATAATATATGAGTAGTTAATTCTGGATGGATAAGAGAGCAGTCAAACAGTTCAGGTATTGTGGTCAGAGCAGATCGATACGTATTGTTTTCGTAAGATGACCTGGGGTTAAGATATTGAGGCACTAAAATCCCTTTGTTGAACAGCCCTGGATGAGACAAGTCCAAGTGTGCCTATAATAGTTCTCGGTGATCTGGGGAAACCTTTGTCCTAGCAAAAGGTCTTTTGGAGATGGGTATAAAGACAAATCTGTCATAAGCAGCGTGGAAAATTCAAAATCCACGAATGTAAAATAATGAAGACAAAATTAAAATGTGGTAGAAAAGAGTTGTTCGGTTGAGCTGAGGTGAATTGTGCTGTATCACTTTTACCATGTCTTTTAACAGCATGTCTCTGCCCTGGGAATATCATGACAAAACCACATATACCCCAAGTGATACAACGAATTCATCTTGCCGACATGTTTTCATCTGCCATTGTAAAATAATTAAAACAACATTGATTTTTGATAGAAAAGAGCTGTTCGGTTGTGTTGGGGTCAACTTCTGCTGTATCGCGTGACTTTTTGTGACTTTTTATATAAACGTGCAGCTCCTTGGCTCGTAGCAGGGTGAGTATAAGGGGTTTATTTCCTGGTCAGAAATTTATAGCCTTCTCAGGCAGGTTACCAAGTATTTCATCAAGATTACATGAACCAATCAGATCTCAAAATTCTGACGTGGAAGTAAGAGTTTAAAGAAACTACGATTGAGTGATAGTAATGACAAAACACTATTTCTACGAGGGGCGTTCAATACGTTTGCAACTTCAATATGAGACCAAGTCGCAGAATATCTTTTGCACTTTTACTTTTCAATATAATCTTCATTCACCTCAATACACTTATTCCATTTGTCCAAATCCGCAGATTGGCCCTCTGACCACGCCTCTGTGGCTGCCTTTATGTCCTCGTCATCCTAGAAGCGTCTTCCATGTGGGGCAAAATTCACAGGAAATAGTCACTGTGGGCTAGGTCTGAGCTGTACAGTTAAATCACCCACCCAACAGCCAAGACTTAGCCCCCATTGCGACTTGGTCTTATATTGTAGTTGCAAAACGTATTGAACGCCCCTCGTAAGTGTACGTTGGAGTACAAGGGAGGGGCAGCGTCATGACATCAGCCCATGATGGCACAACTCATAGGGTGTATGTTATCAATGGATACAATGCAGTGGACACCTTTGATTTTCCAGTGAACCCCTCTTTGAACAGCTAATATAGGTGTATTGTTTGACTACGGTGTAAAACACCATTTTCCATCTAATACATTTGTGAAATCTGATCACGGTGTAAATTCCCTTTGGTGAGCAAAAAGAGGTGTATTTGTTTCACTATAGCATAAAACACTTTTTGCTAGCTAAAACACTTGTGATATCTGATTACGGTAAAAAAAACAATTCGTCGGCTCAAATGGACACCATCTACTTTTGCAGAATGCAACCACAAGTGAATCACCCTTTCAAGCTAAAATGCAAATTCTCAGTAAAACCCATACTGGAACAGATGTTGAAACCGTGGGCTATATTGGGAGAGATGAAACAGTGGAGCTCAAGCATCAGCTCTATCACGGAAGCAATTATGGATTTCACAACCGAACGTTAATTGTCGGGACTCTGGAGGTATTTAGAATACACTTCATAATTTTGTTGCTTTGATCATACTGAGAACATCATTGATTTTCTGTCGTTCTCTTTACATACCATTACATTCTGTTTCACAGTTTGTTAATGTGTTGATGTATACACCTAGACCCGGTTGTATCAAACTTTAATGATGCATTAACGTGTCATTAAACCTCCATTAACTAATGTATCATTAAATCCAGTTGTACTTACGCGTTTTAAATACGTCGTGCTGTCATTAACTTAATGAAGGTCTGGGGCATCATTAGTGTGTCATTAAAAACAAACATGGCAGCGAACATATTGTTTGAACGCTTAGGACGCACAAGGAAAGACCGTGTTTTCAGAAAACGAACTCATCACCTCGAATCCATGAGCGATGAAGTAAGGGCCCGCTACCGTTTTGGGAGGGCAAGCATCAGTTATATCTGCGATCTTGTGAGAGATGAATTACAGCCCAAATCTGCAAGTTCGCACGCACTTAGTGTTGAACTACAGGTAAAAGTTTGATAATTAACACGTCATCACTAGAAACTCAGCAAGTTTGAAATAAATATAGTATCATACCGCCACATTGGGCAAATTTATATCGGCAATCTTTAAGTGGACGATACGCAGTTCTGCGTGGGTCTGCTCACTAATACGTGTGTTGATACAGTATATATGCAGCCTAATGATACCAACCTTGTAAATATATTTCACAATTGAAAGTAATGCAAATTCATTGATTCTTTTCACTTCACCCAAGAAAGATACGTTTTCAACTTGGCGTTGTCAGCCATAATCAGTTTCATAAAGGGGAGTTACTCTAATGACATAAACTAAATGTTTCGTGCATACTGAAGAGAACAGTCTTGCGTGTTCGATCCCGGCCAAAAGAACCTTTTAATTATTAAAGTATGCACATCTTATATCAATCATTAATACTTTACTTACTGACACATAATGAAAATCAGCAAAATAAATAACAAAAGAGATATTAGTGTTATGGAAATATTTGAAAATTTGTCAAACCTATCATAAGCCTCTTTAAAACCATTTTATCAGGTTCTGGTAACCCTACACTTCTTTGCAAGTGGAAGTTTCCTGCAAATCACTGGCGACACAATAGGCATTGACAAATCAACGGCCTCACGAGTTAGGAAGGTTTCCCTTGCCATCGCGTCTCTTGTGCCCAAGTTTGTTACCTGGCCGTCCGAGGGGGATATAGGCGACATTTGAAAGGAATTCTACAATATATCTCGATTTCGTGGAGTCATCGGATGTATCGATGGGACACATGTACGGATACAGGCACCATCAGACAACGAACCTGCCTTTGTCAATAGGAAAGGCTACCATTCGATCAATGTTCAAGCAGTGTGTGACAGCCAAGGTGCGTTAAATAAATTCTTATTTACATAATAACACATAAAAGGTCACTGTAAAACCTGTGCACGGAGCATACACGTCCTCCCTTCAAAGTCACAAGGGCAATACGTTTACGTCCCTGACACCATTCACATTGTTAAACGAAATAGCTATCAGACAAATCTTTATACTATGATATGATTTCAGTATTTGTTGTTTAGGGCCGCGATCAGCAGACATTTAAGCTATATGGCAGTGAACGCTATATAAACCAGGTTCGATGGCAATATTGGTTTATATTAGCATTGACCGTTTTGTCTTGTTCTGCAGGTAAATTTATTAACTTAGTGGCGAGATGGCCAGGTAGAACGCATGACAGCCACGTGTTCAAGAAGTATAAAGTAAACACCTGGAAACACACCATACCACTCTACAAGACGGCGTTATTCTTGGTGACAGTGGATACGCATGTCGTAAAGCCATCTACCCCCGAGCAAAGGCTATTCAACTCCTCCCATAAAAGAACAAGTTCAACCATAGAAAAAGCATTTGGGTGGCTCAAACGGCGTTTCCATGTTCTGCACGGTCAAATCAGGATGAGCCCAGAGAGAGTTTGCACCATCATTGGTTAGCTTACTAAGATAATAATAAAACTATGAAATAAATTTGAAGCTAACCCATATATAAGATCCGAAAACTGTACTATAAATAAAGTTTTAACATGAAATCAAATTTAGACATTAAATACTGATAACGTATTAGGTTTGTAAGTACCCCAAATCGCATATATAGCTGGAATAGTGCACACTCACATGACATAAGAATCGAATGATAACAATACTGTAAACCCTTTAAACAATCTTGCTATGTTTCACAGGTGCTTGTGCTGTGTTGCATAATCTGGCGATAATTCTTTGTGAACCCATGCTGGATGTTGATGGGGAGGACGACAGTAACATTGAAGGGAAATATACAAGTCCCGAAGATGGACGGTACATCCGTGATTATATCACAAGACACTATTTCACTAACTGAAATGGTCACACTGCATTTGGGTTACCATAACTATACTGAATGCAGCGATACCAGGTGTAGAGAATGGTTAAAAGTGTTGGCGGTAGCATATTTTGCCAAAATAAAATTGAAACAAATGGTTAACCAAATGTTTAAGCGTGCACTGTTGTCTTTTCATTTCATTTCATGGGATATGGTTTCCCAGCTTTGTTTAACTTTAATTTAGATAACTGCGTATTTATTGTCCAGTTTACAGTGCGCGTTTCCCTCCAGAAAAAAATACAGCTGAGCGCTACACGCATACAATGAGTGTGATTTTGTTTCACAACGCCAAGACTTCATGGTGAGCATGTAAGGTTTATTGTGTTTCTGGAGTTGGAGTCTATTATATTAATTTTATTCAAGATATATTTTAATATGGTTCACATAAATTTCGTCGAAATCGTGTGTTATCTGATGGCTTATCGCACCATCTCACTGTCACTGTTAGTTGTCTCCCGTTCGTTCAACTGGAGCGATACAACATACAACACAACACTGTAGCACATTATCAAACTAATTGCTCTTTTTAATGAACAATTGGAACATATAAAATATGAGGATGTCTTTTTCATTCTTGGTTCATCAAGCCATCCAACTCCAATCGGAGCTTCTTGTTCATGAGTTCAAAGTAAATAGTTTGCTGAATGTCTTTCTTTTTCTGCTCAAGCAAAACCTCATACTGCAGTCGGGTGATGTCATCCTGTTTGCTCTTTCTCTTGGTGACACGATTTGATTTCCCCACAGTCTGGACCAAAGGCCTGAAAAATACATTGTTTTTGGATCATGATTATCATGCGAGTCTCCGTGTGTATAAAAAGTGACTTTTACGCTGTATACGCGAGTGTTAAAGGCCAAAATTAGTATGAGTGTTTCAATCTAAGGGATGAGCGAGTAGAGAAAAGGACTTGGCATAACATGTATGTTAGCACTGCTGCAAGAAGTAAGATTCCAGTATTATATAATACGACACACTCTTCGATGGTACTGATGTCGTCATCTAATGCAGATGCGTCAACAGACAGTTCTCCTTCTTGGTAGATCTGTGTGCTGGAACAACTGGGCACAGACGCTTCCTGAGTAGGGACATCGCCAACATTTTCTTCTAAAGCCCGTGCTAACAGGTGTAAAGTCGAAAGAGAGCCAATTACATCGGCGACTTCAGTACCTGCACACACATAAAGTTATTTGCACATTTATTTAAAATAAGTTAAAATAAAGTTAATTAATATTTTTACACTGTTAAAACGGGAGAGGTACGGCACCAGGTTATTATCATTACTAAAGGAACATGATATATTAGAATTGTATGATATATTTGTGTGATGACATGGCCTATTTTATGTCTTCAGCCACCTTCAGAAAAATTACTTTGCTATAATCAGACATATTTTTTCAACCAATTTTCGTTGTCATCAGAAAATTCACTCTTGAAAAGTATAAATGCTTCACATAAAATTTGCATTTGGAGACGAAGAATGTCAAGATTTGAACTTAACATCGAAAGACACAACATGAACTTTTGGGTTAAGAATAGGGGTAATGAGAGTTGCCCGCCTTCTCGTTTCACAAAGGCTGCCTGTCGGAGAACGGATGAGAAATACCATTACAAATGTAAATGTACACTGTGTATTATTTTCACACGCGGCAATTTCATTAAAGGTGTTGTGAAAAAGGTTGGTTTAATGTTGTTGTTTTTCATTTCCTTTTAATAAATGCTCATCAAATCATGTGAAATACCCGATTCCCCATAGCCTTGTTCAACGTGTATTAGCGAATTAGGCTACTTGTTCGTTGTATCATGTAAAGTACGTACTTTTTTAACACTTCCAACAGTTTGTGTATAGATATACCCATTTGCATCACTAGATCGTCCGATTCGATGCCCGTGAGTCCAGTAAAACTGGGACATTCCTTGTAAATGTCGACTATCGTTTCACTCGTTGTGGAAAGTGGGGCAATACAGGGCCCTCCCCCGGTCTTCCTTATGTCCAGCTGTCTGTTGCTGAATTCCCTTTTGGCCGTCTGGTGCATGTTCGTCCATTTTGTTTTTATTTCTTTTGTTGTACGCTGAGAGCACCGAGAGCGTTAACTTTGGAAGTTATCTCTGCCCAAATAGCCTTCTTTCTCTCGTGGGTAACGGTGCTATACAGCTTACTGTTAAGTATAAAGAAGTGTTTCTCCACCAACTCAGCTAATAGTTGAATTTCGGAGCTGTCGAAATTCTTGTTTCTATTCCTAGGTTTAGGTGGATACGATGCCATTTTGACAGACGACCGGAAGTAATGCGTACGTGTTTACGTCAAGGAATTGTGGGAAATATTAAGGGGAAACCCCGAATTTAATGACAGGTTAATGAAGACACTTACATTAAGGCATCATTAGATAATGTTATACTAATAAACGTTTGATACAACCGATTTTAATGATGCCATTAACTAATGGTGGATTAAGAATTTAATGTATCATTAGGGTTTAATGTAGCCATTAGTTAATGAGGCTTTGATACAACCGGGTCCTGTGCGTCAACACCTGGTGCTTATCTCTATATGCCTTTAAGGCTGTTCATGAACTATTGTTTAAGATTGCTTTAGACTTTGGTTCCCTTCACTGTGACCGGGCAGAAACTGACCGAATCGCCGCGCTAAATTAAACATTTGAAACCTCACGATACGCGTTCAATTCCCAATTAATATGAACTGAGATCTAAATTGAAAATCAGCAACTTTATCTCATTTTACGATGAGATAGTGAGTGAAGCAGCATAGGTGTTGTGGGTTGTCTATTTCAATTCAGGAAACAAAACAAATGACGCTTCAGATGTTTCAACAAAAACATTGTTTGCATCAATATGCTTTACTAACAAAGGCAAGGTGTGGCAGGCATAGAAAGAGTGTAGCACAACTACTGCTTTGTCAGTCAGCATGATACATGCGGCAATAAAGATGAGCCAGCAAGCATTTCAAGGTTTAATTTTACACCGCATGTCAATATTAATCCGTTATCCCCTTCATTATGACGCAGAAAATATAACATCACTAACTATTGTACAAAAGCTCCAAATGTCAAGCTCTTTGATGTCCCCAAAGCTTGAAATACACTTTCACAGTCAATTTCTATGGTGATATCGAATATTCCTTTTGTTGTATGGTTATCAAAGCCTCGGACAGTAATGAACTTTCTCAATGATTCAACGCCTGGTTTTTCAGAAGGTGTTCATCTCCGTACATTGTTTTACAGTGTGACATGATTGTGTATGTATGATGCGTTACCTGGCAATGCAGCCGGTACGTTCAACTAATGTCTTTTCAACCGCGAGAAACATTGTTTTTTTGGACCAACTATGACTTTTGTAGTCGTACCAGAGTAACAGAGTGCAATTTACATCGTAGAAATGTTTATACCTCGATGTTACCAACCATATATCTTTAAGTTAACTTGAAATTGATTGTGTCAAAACTTGTAAACAGATGTAGACGAGTTTCTAGCCTCCGTCGCTGTGTTCAAACAAGGGTAACAGCGTTCGCGGCAGTAAACACAACTCATTCGTGTTTTAGTCTCATATAAAAGTATGAAAGGGTCTTTCAAGGGAAAATGGTTTGGTAACCAGGAAGAATACATATTGCATACATATTTACATTGACGTAAATTGCACTCTGTCAGTGCAAAATCTATTTAGTAGGTTGTATATGAGGACGTCTAGGGCGTGAATCGTATGTATTACTGACCGGAATCAATCTTGTCAGCACATTTGTAAGAGTTTGCGGTTAGTTTAAATTGTACTGAAGGTGGACCCTGAAGGCTTCTATAAACACTCTTTCTGAATCACTGTTTCAAATATAAATTCTGCTCAGCTATTTTTGTTAATCGCAAACTATTTGTATGATTATATATATCATCAGCAACACGATCAGTTACATGTAAGAGATATTGGTCATACTGCTTGGTAAAAGACAGGCAATATTTGAATACCATCATGGAACAAGAAGAACATGAAATAGCCCGGGCAAGGTGTGTCATCACAACTGTTTTGTATTGATACAGTGGGCGCCATTTGTGATCAAGAGAGTGGAGAACGGTTCTGTCAGGTTCGACGGCCTTTGCATCCAGCTGTTGCAGGAACTGGCCAAACAACTCAACTTCAGGTTTCATTTTTTCTGTGTTTAATGTTTTTCCAATGTCTCTTTGTGAGTGTGTGTGTACTATTACGAGGTGTAAAATTGTTTTTGCTTAATCATTACACTAGTATCAGCGTGCAAGGTTAAACCAAGGTTTCCTATTCGTTGTTGAATGGTTGTGACTGGAGTATCCTTGTGTTTGTTAGCTACACGCTCGTGGAGCCCGAAGATAGGGAGTGGGGTCGGGTACTGAACGGAAGTTGGACGGGCCTGGTGAAGTTACTCTCCGCTGAGGTATGTTACATACATGATACACAGTAACATAAAGGATCTGGCATAAATATAAGGTCCGACGTCAAAGGTCAAACTTCTTATCATCGTTACTAATCCTGACCGAGTAAAACGTTATCTTTCAGTTTGGGCGTGTACCAAATGTTTCAGATGAGTAACATCATGTCACATTGACGTCGTAATAAATGCAGTTCATATAAATGAATGCTTATGGGTTAATTTGAAAAAACGTTTCAAATGATGTCAGACTGGGAGCAAATTTCAAGTTATTATGAGGAACTGGAAAACTGACAGATTGTCTCTGTGTCACTAGCATAAGTGAGTGAGTGAGTGTGGTTTTACGCCGCGTTTAGCAATATTCCAGCAATATCAAGGGGAGGGACACCAGAAACGGGCTTCACACATTGTACACACATTGTGGACGCTTAAACCAATACGCTACCCCACCGCCACATAAGCATAAGAATACGATCGGTCTACATAACAAATATTCAGTTACCAGACAAACAACATGGTATACAACGAGTGCCCGAGAGTGACATTTTTTCCGAACATAGTCCCTCTTTAACGCGCACACTTACAGCTTGTTTATTAATTCAGGAGTAAAAGTAGTTGTTTTCACACTTACAGGAAGTTGATTTGGTCGTGGCACCGATGGCTGTGACTAAGAGCAGATCGACAGTCATCGACGTCACACTGCCATTCTTCTACGTCAACTCAGCTCTTATATTCGGAAAACAAGATTCCAATATCAACAAATGGTTGACCCTACTCTCACTGTTCCGCTATGAGGTTCTTGTTTGTATACTCTTCTCCCTCATCTTCTCCACTGTCTTCCTCTTCCTGATAGAAGAAGTGACACCTGTCCATTCGTGGACAGACGACAGACCCACGGATATGCCGACCCGTTATGGGGATATATTCTGGTATCATTTTGGAGCCCTAATGGCGAACGGTAAATCAACATTGCTCAATAGCAAAGGTTCTAAAATGCTATAAAGTATTCTTTGCATTAAACAAGCTATGATACTTTCTTATTATGGCAACACATGTTCAGTTGAAAAGCTACGTTGTTTTGTTATTCTTCATCATAAGAATCCAAACTTTGTATCTCCATAAAGGAATATCTGTCAAAACATTTGTTTGCACCCTTTTATCTCTCTTGTTTTAACATTGATGTATAGAGCAACAAAAGAGATGCCATATTATGCATTAGGACCTGATGAGAGAGAATCACATGTTTTACATGGCAGATGGAATTAATTGATTTTGACTTTGTAGAACATAGGTTAGTCTGTTCCATCCACGACTCCAGTGTGTGGTGTCTGTAATAAGGTTACCAGGCAAATACACATATAACAAGAAGTGAATGTGTGGAAGACAACTAAATATACCGTTGCGACATTCGGTGCAGATACTAGCACCTTTATTACACTGGCGCATCGATGTTTAATAAAGCCTTTATTATTATTTCAGGAGGAGCATATCTCCCCAACACCGAGTCCGGACGTACAATGCTCAGCTGCTGGTGGCTGTTCACGGTGATAATGGCGGCTACCTACAGCGGTAATCTCATAGCCTTCCTCACCGACGGGCGACAGAAACCTCCCTTCTCCAACCTGGCTGGCATGGCGCAGCAGGACACCTACCGGTGGGGGGTTGTAGGAGGATCATCGTGGGTCACTCTTTTTCAGGTCAGTACACATACAATATGTATGAGTTTGGCTTTACCCCAAACCGAATTTCCTGCGTTACGAGCCACCAGACACTTAACCTAAGGTGAAAATAAGACAGGCTGACTTCTCTTTAAACATATGTTACCAAATCTGAAGCTCTAGCAACTGATGTTTTCAGTATGATTTCCAATTTTGTTTACTCTTCAGAAACACTTGGTGTCATCACTCAGTTTCGGTAGTCCCTTCATAGAACTTTCACAGCTATTTTGGAATCTGTTTCGGTGTATAATCTAGACTGTTTAATCTCTTGCATTGACATTTATATTTACCGTAGTGGCTGCATGAACTACTAGCACACGTAAACAGTTTCCACAGGCAATGACGCTACTGTACTCGAAGTGATCTGTGAAAGGGGGGCATGAGATTATTGATAATATTTTATGATATATACAGAATCCATGGTCTGTTTTCAGGAATCCAACATATCCGTCTATCAGAAAATATGGCGCCATTTGGAGGAAAACATGGCCAATGACCCTGATTGGTTGCATCAAGAGGGCGAAGAGCATCTGCGCCGAGCGGCCGAGAGCAAGTACGTCTACATCGCCGAAGAGTCTACTTTGGAGATGTGGGACGACCCACGGCGATGTGATTTACAAATGCTAAGCGAAAACTTTTATTTTGGCAAATATGCAGTTGGCCTACCCAAGCAAAGTAAATACACACAGCTATTCTCAAAACAGTGAGTTCAGGATATTTTTATTTTTGTTTGGTAATTATCCTCGTATTATGGTTTTTTGAACGCTTGAGAAACATTCGTCATTTCCCCGCTAATATCTCACTTACCTTTAAAATACCACATCTTCAAAAGAAGCCATCATCCAAGTATTAACGATGGCAGTGTATGTTTTATGCTTATCAATGAGAGAATCCAGTATAAAGTGATGCTGATTTGTGTTCAATGCGAGACACAATCAAAAACCAACTTATATCAGCGAGTTTCTTGAAGAGTACGTGCCTGGGAGATCTCTCAGATCAAGCTGCCAGTCCCTACTCTCTGAGCCTAGTGTTAGAACGGCGACTTTTGGAGGTCGGAGTTTCGCCAAAGTTGCCCCTGAGCCATGGAATAGGCTCAGGAACATTGACAGTCCTACTTTGTTCCAATCAAGACTCAAAACCTATCTTTTCACCAAATCTTACTTGGAGTATTGAGGCTTTGTGTTTTCTTCGAACTGGATACCAGCGCTATATTAATCTGTAGTTATTATTAATATCAAGATAAATGTAACCTACCATGCTATGATATTTCAACTTGACAACATATTGTTTTGAAGAATTAGCTGGGATTGCTCAGCAAGCGTCCCACCTGAATACTTTCTATGGCCTCATTCCATGCTCTTTCCCATACATTCATTTAAATCGGCTTAATACAGCCAATGAACGATGTTAGGCCTCCCACAATTTTATCACATTGCAGCGATGTACATGTATCAAATGCTATAACATGCGGCGCACAGATACGTTTTTGCATAAATATCAGTTTGTTATTTTGTAAGTATAATTCACACCTATTTCAAAAGAAGGTTGACATTAAATCGCCATAAAATTACCGTTTGCGTAAATCGTAGAAATAGATAGAGGGCTTAATTAAATTATAAATCCGGTTTCCGAATAAACGTTTGCGCATCCGTGTCAAGGAGGATAATATTGTATAGTTTCTATTCACTTTTGCAGAATATTGAAAATATATGAAAGCGGCCTCCTGCATATGTGGTGGAATCAATGGAAACCCAAACATCAATGTGAGCCGCCAAGCAGAAAATCCAAGAGGATGGACATTTTAGCCTTGCAGAGTGCTTTCTATGGTGCAGGGGTGGGTGTGGCCATGGCACTCGTGGTCCTTATGATTGAATTCATTAATTACCGGAGATGTAAACAAAGAGAGCAAGGACAGTCTGTGAGTGTTGAAGAGTCAGTGTGCCCTGATAAGTCATCTCAGGGTCAATCCCACGAAGACACACCTTCTATAACCTGAAGTACAACAGTGTTGTACAAGAAGGACCTTTTTGAGACTTGGCACGTGTAATCACATCTTGATGATATCAGCAGAAATGCATTGGCTTCAAGTATTAGACATGTCGATTATGTTGTAAGGTACAATCGTCCATTGGCATCGCTGTATCGTCTAACAATCGGTTAAAGGGTCTCATCAGGATCAGCTTGCAAATCGGTCATGTCGACGACCATCGTGAGCATCTGTGAATAGAAGATACTGTCAAATCCAACTAACATTCCAGTTGACACATCCACCAGGTAATTAGAAATGATCTAACCTGTCAGGTTAGGAGGCGTTTTCACAGCTATTTTGCCCGTTACTTCAAATGGAATCTGTTTAGCGGATAATCAAGACTGGTTACTCGCTAACATTGACGTTTAATATTTACTTGAACTTGGTCGGTGTTTCGGTTGGTGGGCTGAAGTCCCCGAGTTCCATCCTAAGGTCAGTAGCATTTCTATGCTGAGACAACTATAAGAGAAATGTTTGGGCCAAGGCAGTCAAACTGCCTTCCACCGCCACCCACTCCCCCTACCCCACTAATATATTTTAAAAACGTTTACTTACAAGCAGCAGAATCTCTGCACTTGGCAGTAGTAGCACATATAGTTGTTATTAGTTTCAACAAAATCGGTAAATGCACTATCGTGTCACTGGATTTTATGATTGATCGATCACTTGATTGTCCGGTTTGATAACAGGTCACCGTCGCATGGCAGAAGTACTGCTGTGCGGCGTCAGGCAATAGATACCTACTTTTTATGTAAATTGCGTGAAAAATGTTTACTTTTCACAGCTTGCTTTGCCCTGTTCGCTCAGTGGAGTCTTTTTCGGCGGAAGATCTAAGACTAAGACAATGATCTAAAACTTTAAAAGTGATCCTAGCTTCAACTAAAATCCAGTGTCTTGAGTCTTGAATGCTTCACAAGAGGATTATTATTATTTATGTAATTTGTTTTACAGAACATGGTGTTGCCATGGAAAAGAATTATATATTCTCATGTATAGCTGTTTGCAGTGGCCTTTTACGGCAAGCATGGGTTGCTGGAGACCTATTCTACCCCCGATCTTCACGGGTTGGGGTGACATCGAGGTGTTGCAATTTTAATGGTACTCAATTCATAACAGCAAGTCTGAAATTTAATCAATTTTATGTTTTTCGTCAGTCCCAATCTTTCCCTGTTTCTACTGTATTCTCTCGTTGTTCTTCACGATTGGAATTTCTAACGTTTTCAGCATATTCATAAAAAATCATTCATATCTTTCTCGTCTGTTTTCTTTGAAATACTCACTCCACGTCTTTAATCACGTCGTTTATGGGTATGTGTTTTGGTGGACAAATTATTTCTCGTAAATATGATGGAGAACAAAAAGATTTACTGTCACATTTCCACATTGATGACATCAAGTTCTCATGACAGCACAGCATTTCATTGATGTCATGTATTTAATGAAAGCATATGTCATGTAACCTTTACTGAGACAGCACTATTTGAAATCCTGGACTTCCATATATCTTTGTGAAATTGGGGGATAGGGCATTTAGGCAGGACGCAGGCACTCCCATGGACACAAGTTACACTCACCTCCTTGCTCGACCGTTATGCATACAAGTCAGTGCAAAATCAAATCAAGGGATTTAGCCAAGAAATTTAACTGATCTGATATTGTTCAGTTAGTGTCAAACAGCCAGTTCCCTTCCACTGGTTTACCCATCTGAGCTAGAAATAGAAGAGACCAGTGAGACCGCTTCATCTGTTTCACATTAATTATGCACAAATACAAATATTTAAGAACCATTTGTCTATAGCAGTGATGTACATTGCATAGAAACTGGCCTGAATGAGCAAAGCTGGCAGTAGTATGGTTTGTTACCAGGGCCAACGCAGAGGCAACACAAATAAGAGCAATCAATGAAGTATAGACGTGTTAAATTCAAGAGACAGTCAATTGCGCTTGTGAACTCAATACGTGCAAGCGTAATGCTCACTTCTGGACATGCCTGTTGATTATTTTTCACACAGCACGAAATACCTTCAACGTACCGCGGTCAAGTTATGTGAATGCTGTGAACGTGGACCAAAAGACAACCGATGAGCACCACTGGCACGGTAGGGTTAAATTATAAGTTTAAATAGTTTATTAGGTTCCTAATAGTTGATGTGTTATGATACATCTGTTGAAAGTATTCATGGCTTCTGTCTGATTCAAGCAGCATAGTAAACATGTTGTATTCTATCAGCAGTGAATCTTACTCCAATATAGATTGCTATCAAAATAGGTGATCATGATTTCTTGTTAGTCATCTTGTGAAATGCATTGTATGGTGGATGTTGAAACGTATCCCCGTGAGATATATCTCTGTCTTTTTCTAACTAATAGCTACAGAAATATGTACATCTTAAAATTTTCATATCATACAGTGTATTGCTATCCCCATACCGCCTGAAAGCCAAACCGACCCCTGTTATTGATAGTTCAATGACATTTCCACAAATGTGGACATCTTACTATAAATCAACGTACGAGCTATGCATGTATCCTAACGTATTGTGAACATACGTGAAATGCTATGATTGGATTGTCGTTAAACTTTATATTTGCATTTCAAAGATAAGCTTTTTAAATCAACCGAAAAAGATATGCCACTTCCACTTTATTAAAAAAAGGTAACTTGATACATTATATTACTAGTTAGTATAGGCCCTAACAATATATATAAAATACATGTATGTAAAACGTATTACATAAGAAATCGATATGTCAGTTTGACCTGTTTGGCTTATGGTCGGTTAAAGATGATGAGTCTTTAGCCTGGTAATTATAATTTTTATTTAAAATATGCGTATCTCCGAACCACAGTGACAAGGGATATTATCTCAGTATAGGGCCATGCATATGTGAATGCCATGCAAGTTCTTCAGAGGCAGCCTCCCGGAAGGAGTACACTAATCCCTGGCGCACACTGAACTATAGCTACATTCTACTCAGTCGGTTGAACGTGGACCATCCACGACAGCTTCACGTTGTATACTTGACATAGACCATATGGTGTGCACGTTCGTGCATGTAGAAACCATGTAAAATGTCTCATAATTTGTCGGTCAGTTGCTAGATACATCGTACCGCATCTAGTAAGTATGTCTCGTCAAAAAAACAAGAGAATTATCAATCAGCCTAACGCCTTGTGTTCGTCAATGCACAGAGTGAGTGAGTATGTTTCTACGCCGCTTTAAGCAATATTCCAGAAATCTCACGGCGGGGATACCAGAAATGGGCTTCACATATTGTACCTATGTGGGGAATCGAACCCGGTCCTTCAGCGTACGAACGAACGCTTTAACTAGTAGACTACCACACCTCCCGAATATACAGAGAAGAATCGGATCAGTGTAAACCTGTGGGCAGGTGGACGGACTTTGACGCTCACGTTAACGGTTCGACAACGTTTTCAAATGACATTTAGTCATATCACGATGTTTCATAGGCGTTTATTGTTTTTGAGTGAGTGAGTTTGGTTTTAAACCACATTAAGCAATATTCCGGCAACATCACGCTAAGAGATACCAGAAATGGGCTTCGCATATCGTAGTCATATGCAGAATCGAACCCGGGTGTCTTCAGCGGTGTGACGAGCCAAGGCTAACTCCACCGACTACCATGGGTGAAAAGGTAGCGCGTAATGCTGATAGAACAAGGAGCAAGAAGAGGTTGAAACTGGTATTCAAACCACCTGGTGGGGACAATGGACACATAATAGATGTGCTTTAGATCAAGTTTCTACAGGCACAAAGAATAGGTCACTGTTTAGACCTGCTGAGTCACAAAGAACTATTACCCGTTATAAGAGATAAACGAAAAACCTCTAGATAACCTGTGCTCTGTAGATGTATTGATATAGCAATGGGGTGTACTTGAAGTATTAGTGACCGACCACCTGATATTCGGGAGAATTTCTTGAAAATAATTGTGCTTTAGACTGTTGAAACAAAATTTGTCTGCCACAAAATTACATTGTTGAACGGTGTTTTTAAGACAAAATATTCAGGCTCATAGTTTTGACTAAAACAATATCTTGTTTTGCAGCTGTAACTGAAAAAAATATGTAGTCTCTTTACAAAATCCCAGCCCCCTACCCCCACCCAAAACCCCCAATAAAAATGGTAGGTCCCTAAGTTCTCCAAGCAGAAGGCCCGGGTTTCATTCCCACTTGGACATAACGTCGTGAGTAAAACAATAACCACTCATGTAATATTATCCACATCACAAACATAAAATATATCATGTCGTTATGTACTAGAACATTCAGTGCCATTGGGCAGGAAAAGATTAAAGTCACAATAGAGAGATAACACAATCTCAAGCAGTAAATTTTCTGCACAGGTCCAGGAGATATTAACAGTGGCTAACAAAAAGCGAAATACATGTCAACAGGCGCCAGAAGACTAAACACCCCATGTACGACAACTATACGTGAGAGTAGAGAGTAGAACGTTTGTTGTTTAACGCTGTACTCCAGCAATATTCCAGCTCTATGACGGCGGCCTGTAAAATATCGAGTCTGAATCAGACAATCCAGTGACTGACATCATGAGCATGGGGTACAATGCCATGCATCAACTAAGTCAGCGAGCTTGATCACCCGATCAGGTTAGTCGCCCATTACGACAAGCATGGGTTGCTGAAGATCTATTCTGACACAGATCTTCACGCGACGGGCACCGGATATGAGTACCACCAGACCACATAGAAGACAATGGAGTGAATCTATTTATACTTGAAATGTAGTTATGCCAGCTATATCATTTTACCCAGAGATTAGAGTCGTAAAATATATTCAAACATGATATAAACCTGGACCGCTACCAATCATCAAGCAAATCGAGTCTTTCACTCCTCCTTAAATAAACGTCGATCAATGTGTGGAGCAAACATTCAATTTCACATTTCACGCAATATACGCAGACCTTCATCATTGCATATCACGAATAGTGTCGCTATGCTGGCTCCGAACAATGGTGTATCATGGGTAACGTCAATAAAAAGAAAGAACATTTCCCAGGGGCTTTTTCGGGCACTTACAGACAATGTATTTGAACTGATTGAAATATTCATCCAGCCAAAGCACAAAATAATCCATTCTTTAGAAATGACGGTGTATTTTCACCACGAAGAAGGAAATCAATACCATTGATTTATTTAAACTCAATTATCCCTGTGCCGTCTGAAGTAGGTGCCTGTGTTAACATCGACTGTGCCGATTAGTCTGTGGGATCTTCACAACTCGACTGACCAGATTTGTGACACGTAGTCACGTCATACCTTACCTGTAAGGTAATCAGATTACTAATACTCCAAATGTATACGATATGATAACGGACGCTGCACATGTCGATTACGTTTGTCAAGGGATGTCAGCCTGAAGGCATCAGACAGAAGCATATTACTTTGAGGTTGCAAAACGCGATCAGGCATAAGTTAATGGTCTGTGCATTAAACAAGGCGCGGACCTTACATTGTCTTCAGTTGCGTAATTGAAAGTTTATGTATATTGAGAGGCAACCATGTCGGCTTTGATGTTTGTCAAATGGGTGCATGCAAGCAATAGCAGTAACAGCGACTTTCGTTGCCCAGGAGATGAATATTAAGCGTCACATACATTATTCTGTAGCTGGGATGTTGAATTGATGACGTACATCACCAATGTCAGCTAATCGACGCGACACATCGTTTCGTGACAGTTGTTGTTTTTGTATGTCCGTGTTTCACACATATTATTGCCTGAGGATAAAAGCCGAAATCCTGTTTTAATTGACCAGGTCCAAAGAAGTTATTCAATTTAGTCCAGGCACACAGACTCGGAAACAGACGCCTGTATGATGTTTGGGGTTTGTACCTTGCAGTTGATCATGTTCGTGATTTACCCATCCTCGCATGTTTGGACATTGTCTCTGGGTGAGTTCAGTTCATCATGCTACTATTTTCTACAAATATATCTATTTGAATTCACACGCATTGAGTATGTACATCTGTCGAAGTGGTAACAAATGGTTTACAAATGACATAATGTAATGTTATAACATGTTTATCATGTACCAATGCACACGCGCATGCAAGAAATGTGTATGAGCATTCGGCAAAGTAACATTAATGCTCTTTCGTGATGATACCCTTTTACCGAAATTAAACCTGCAGTTTTAATAATACCATTAGTACAATTTATTAAATGATTTTCTACATGAAACAGTGATATGTTGAATATGGTAGTAGTTACTTATTGAATAATATTGTCAAATATGACGAAGAGAAGGTATGTAGAAAACACCCTTAGGAATAACAGACATGCCTCAGTCAATTGTGTGTTTTCAGTGAGTAAAATGGTCTATGATGCTACTAGGTTCAAGCATCTAATCGGAATACTTTTCTTACCAGATATCTTGCTGAATATCAAGGAGCATGATAAATGCCCCCATCCTGTGGTGTGCCATAGAAATGTGTCAGTCAATAGTCAGTTAAATGTGACCAACTGGCTGATCTCTGCTGGGGACCAATTTGCTGCGTCGAAGACAGGTAACATTGTTTCTTATTTAGGATATCGCTCAGTTATCACTTAAAATGTATACCTAGTGCTGACGAGTTCGTTCTTACTTTCTTTTCTTTAACAACTTCCGTTCAAATTCGACAACTTAAATACTGTATGCAGTTATACCGTTACATATTTTCTAGTGGCACAGTTATGGCAATACAGTGTTCATGAGTTTCAGTGAGATCGGTACATGGGCATGTGGTGGTCCTAGCATCTCTCTCTCCCTGTCAGCATACCTTCAATCCCTCCTCCCACAGGGATGACCTCAACATCAGCCTCTGCTCCGAGGTCTGCCCCGACTTCCTATCCAGCCATACAATGTATATTCAATCAGTGTTCAGCGTCACAAACACAAAGCAGTCCTACTTTAATGCCCTTGTCAGACCCAATTCTATGGAGGTTGTCATTGGAGGCATTAACGTGATACTCGGTCATGTGAAGTGGAAGACGTTCGTTGTTATAACTTCATCCTATGAAGGTAGGATATACAACAATCCACGTTATCCAAAATCCTTTGACAGTGATTATGGAGCATGGCCAGATATTATATAGTATTCTCTTAAAGTATTATTTCTTACAATTGACAACTGTCAACCACGGATATACTAGCAATTTCGGACAGAACAGACATTTATGGATATAAATACAACTTCGGATGCAACAGTCAATTTTGGATATGGTATACAAATTAAGCCACAACAGTCAGTAACGGATATTATACACAAATTAGTATAAAATTCGCCATTCAACAAAGCTATCCTTGTACTTAGACAATAGTAACTGACATGACAGATACAATTAGGCGGTCAATTGAGTGGGGCCCTTTTCCCTATCTGCAGACAAAATCACTTGTGTTAGATCTCCGTGTGGAGTAAGATATGTTTGGGTATATTCATTGCTTCACTGATAGAAAGATAAACCCTTTTACAATGAAAATATTATAGTACCCTATTGGCAATTATCTAATAATATGACATCGGACAAAGCTATGTCTTGTAACTGACTATCTCATCAGAAAATCAAGATTAAACATATGAGCTATAACGGATATAATACCTACCAAATTACGTTATTAACAGTTTTGACTGCACTGTCTGGAGGTAGACTGGCTTCTCTCAAGTTACTGCTGTATATGATGGATGATCCCAATAAGCCACAAGAAAGTATTGACCTCTCCAGCATATACCAGCTGCTTTCAGAGAAGGACCTCAACCTTCTTGTGATGTGTCCCTCCGATTGTATACAGAAGCTCCTCAATCAGGTAGTGCCATGCAAACTGCTGGTGTGTCTCCAGTTTAGTTTGACCCACAATAACATCACATAGCTTTTATCATGAAATACGTTTGTTCCCGGAAACTGATTCCAGTTTCACAACAGTTTAAATGTTCATTATTGCGCATATTACAATTCCAGAACGAGAGTTTACAATGATTATAACACTCTATGTGTGGGAATGCAGAGTTCCTGAAGCTTTACACCTGTTGTAAGGAATAATAATGTGTTCTATTTCGTTACGTATTTTGCACATTCTGTACAAGGATTTGAATAAGGAATATATTTATGAAGACCATATAATCACTTCTATACTGCATGAACATTGATTGGTAATAGATATATTATGGGAACGGAGTACAGAATTAGTTATATGATGTACATAACTGTTTATTGTCAGGCTCGCTTGCTGGAATCGAACATGTCAGTGACGAGGGCATCTGGGGTCTCACAGTGGCTGGTGGTTCCTTCTACTGGAAATGTCATGGACATTGCACACAGTCGTGAACCATTCAAAACTGATGATGTTGTTTTCCTGGAGTTCAATCCGTGCTCTAAGTATTATTCACCACTGGTAAGCAACTGTGGCGTGTGGGTGTATCGTATACTGTAAGGGACTCACCATTCGGGCTGCAAACCTTCTACAAAACAATCATGTTACTAAATTGTTAATAAGGGGGAATGAATTTCGTGGAAAAAAAAGAAAATAATTTGTATATTCTATGGATCCTTACAAAATGGATATGTGTGTTCCATCCCCCGAGGAAATTGATATACATAAAAAATTCCAATTGAATTCCTTCAACAGACCCAATGACCTTGTATGTACATACATTGCATATATTTAATGATGTGTAAGATCCTTTATCATATAATGGGTAGGTTTCTCGGCAGGATAAAGCCAACGGATAATAACGATAAAGGCAATTAAAAACAATTGTTGTTTTGCGTATATATGCTTCGTCACTGTATAAGAAACAGATTTCAGATGGAACTATATTGGCTACTGTCACTGTCCGACTGACACATCACTAACCCTGTGACGTAATAAATATTAATGCGCGCATTCCAGGAAAACTCGCAATGTTTCGGTAATGTTTATGAGAGAGGGAAAGCGATTTTGAAGCACAGAATTAAAGAATGACATTATATGATAAAGAGGTTATCACGCTTGTGTATTTGGGGATGGTAAATATCCTGCATTAGGAATAAACACTATGTATTTAGCTCGCCAAGGCTCGCTAAATACAATGTTTATTCCTAATGCAGGATATTTACCATCCCCAAACACACTCGCGTGATAACCTCTATGTATTTTTTCAGAACCTGGAAATTATCAAGCATCTGTCAAGCTTGGAAAAGTTTCTTATGACAGACCAAGCGGCTGACAAAACACAATTGAAACAGAAGGTAATTGTTTTCAATAGGTGACTCACATGGTTATCGGATGGCCCCAGTGCCCTCATCAACCGTTTGAACATTGTGATTAAAGCTAAGTTTATGCTCTTACCATCCACCACGTGTACACCTGTCCAAAGTTCTATTTAGGCGTAAGGTTCCGGGCAATAGATTAGAACTTTGTAAAACCCCATTTATTCGCTCATGTATGTACACTGCATAACTAGGGTAAGCTGTTACAGATGTGTGGCCTGACTTAAAAGCCCAATGCGCAGCTAATACGAATGCATTGTCTGGCTACGATATACCACAATATATACTAACCACATAAAGAAACTGTGCACGGAGAAAATATAGATATAAGGGCACACCGTCCATATATGAAAGATAGGTTTGAACACAGCAATTATTGGAGACATTCAAACGCTCATGCACGTGCCATGCGATATGACGTCATTGATAGGGGCCTATGGACGTGCAATGTGTTACTGCACGTGCATCCTGTGCAGCTGTACACAGCATGTGCAACTCAAAATTCGCTGTCACTTTGGAAAGCATGATCTGTGGTCATTCAAAAATTCAAAACTTCTCAGGCGCAGACACAAGCATATCACAAGCAAATCATGCCAAGATTGACAGCTGCACAGCGTCATGAAGCCATGGGAATGATCCGAGCGGGAATGCGGCAACAACAGGTGGCAACACATTTCCAATGCCATCGTAACACGATATCGGCATTGGTGAGGCGTAATCAGAACACAAATGACGTTGCCGACCACCCACGTTCAGGACGTCCCCGAGTAACGACGCCAAGACAGGACAGATGGATTCGAGTGACACATCTCCGACACTGGTTCCAAACGGCAGTAACGACGTCCCAGACAATTCCTGGACTGCGCCGTATCCATCCCAACACTGTCAGGAATCGTTTACGTCAGTACGGGATTCGACCACGACGCCCTGCCATACGTCCCATCCTGACACACCGTCATCGAGTCAACCGCCTAAGATGGTGGAGAAATCATGTTCGCCAACCTCGAATATGGTGGAGAAATGTTGTCTTTACAGATGAATCGAGGTTCAACATTTCCCACAGTGACGGGCGCCAACGTGTCTACCGGCGTTTGGGAGAACGTTATGCACGCAACTGTATTGTGGAGAGGAATCGTTTTGGAGGTGGCTCTGTGATGATTTGGGGTGGGATAATAGCACGGCACCGAACCCCCTTGGTGGTTGTTCAGGGCAATCTCACCGGTGTTGGCTACAAAGATCAGATTCTGAGGCCTGTGGTCATTCCTTTCCTGCAACGTCATGGCCCGGGATTGACATTTCAACAGGACAACGCTCGTCCTCACACGGCTAGGGTCGCAATGGATTTCCTTCACCATAACAATGTCATGTTACTGCCATGGCCAGATCTCTCCCCAACAGAGCATGTGTTGGATGAAATGGAGCGCCGTCTGCGTCGTCTTCCACATCCTCCAGATAACATCCGTGACTTGGCACAGGATTTGAGGAGGATATGGCAGGCCATTCCCCAGGCCTTCCATGCCCATTTGGTAGACTCCATGCGTCGCCGATGCACTGCTGTGATTCACGCACAGGGTGGTCATACCCGTTATTGACTTTGTGACTTTGTCGTTTGACCCCCTACTCCATTTTGATCTTCTGACGTCATCGTAACAGATGTTGTTCAGGTCCCGTTGACATTTTCTTATGGTCCGATCATTCAGCTGCGTCTGCATCATTTTGTTCTTGCTGTGTTGTATATCAATCCAGAATATATTTTCTCCGTGCACAGTTTCTTTATGTGGCTAGAATATGAGTAGTAAATCCTGGATGAATAAGCGAGCAATCTAACAGTTCAGGTATTGTAGTCAGAACAGATCGATAATATGGTTATCAACGGTATTTGTCAGTTAATTCTCCACATGCAACATAGGTTTTCATCACATCGTTAAGGTTGTACTTTTGAATAATGTCAAACATTTCTGAGACAAAGTCGTTTGGCGAGCTTCTTTAATCATGCAAAATATTTACCGAGTTTCCATGAAAATAGTTTCATTGATTTGAATTTAATCGTCCGGCAAACAACAGTTTACATTTATCAATGTATGTATTCATTGACCACAGTCAAAGTGTGCCTATGCTAGTTCTCGGTGATCTCTTGGGTAAACCTTGTACACATCTAGCAAAAGCTCTTTGGACTCGTTCCAGATTAGTATAGTCTGATTTTGAGAGGTTGATAAATAGTTCACATCCATAAAGTGCAATTGGAAGTATTACACGCTTGAATATGTCAAGCTGTTTTCATATTTGTTACGGAATTACTTTTTACTTTGTTTTAAAGATATCGGTATTTTATTTAAAGATATCAATATTGTTTTTAAGATATCAGAAAATAATTAAAGATATCTTGAATTCAATTCTGATATCCAAAATACAAACACTGATTTCTTAAGATGTTACTCTAATATCAACAAAATATTTCGTGATACCTCTAAATGTATTTAAGATATCATTAAACAGTTACCATCCTACTGTACATAATCATATTAGAAATAAATTCAAGATATCTTAAATTCAATTCAGGATATATTGAAATAATGCAAATGCATTACAGATATCCTCAATTCGTTTTAGATATATTTAATTCAATTTGAGATATATTTAATTCAATTCAAGATATCATTAATAATTTTGAAGATATCTTTATATCAATTGTTGATATCTGTAATTTAATTTAAGTAACATGAAGGAACAGCAAAAGAATAATTTCCCAAAGTGGGAAATGATTTACAGATATCTTCAAATACTGGCTACATATCCATAAATTCTTCCGGTTCCGAAATGGCGGCAAACAACGCCCAACTTGTTCAGGAACTAATCTCAACAGCACGCCAAGCAATTCGCGGAGGAGTTGAGGGGACTGACTATGACAGCAGTGAACAATTTGAAAACATGGTCTCCGAAGAGAGAAGAAATTTTCCGCCATTGTTAGAAACATAACCCACAGTACTGAAGTATTTGAAGATATCTGTAAATGAGCAGAAGTCTTCAATAATGGCAACATTTGAAGATATCAATACTTAATTATTGATATCTGTATTATTTAGTTTCAAGATATCATGAATTGAATATCACATATGATCATATTTTGATATCAGTAATCGAATTTAAGATATCAGCAATTCTTTTCAAGATATCAGTAATAAGCTTCACCATATCCTTAATTAATTTCGTGATATCTTAAATTTTATTGCAGATATCTACAATTATCTGTATTTAAGATATTTTCAATTCAATTCACAGTATCTTCAATTCTATTCACGATACCTTCAGTTCAATTCAAGATATCTTTAAAACAATTGAAGATATCAGTAATTCCGTAACGAATGTGAAAACGGTTTCCCATGCTTCCATATTTTAGAGCTTCAACAGAATTAAGACTATTTATCTAAAGGCCAGACGTATATAGAAAGTTCATGGCTGTGTAATTTTTTTTACACGCTGATTAAGCTCGACATGAGGAGCTTCCATTTGATGTGAACAAAATTCCTGCATATTTTGTTTCTCCTACTTGTTCTACAATAGTTTGTCCAAGTTTGAATATTGGAGTGTGCTTTGTTTCTTACTGAATGTCATGGAGAAGCTTTTGTTGGAGTTATACACGAGGCGCCAATTTTTGGTAAAGTTAAGGAGTGAGTCAATACCATTTGTGATAAAGCTCACTTCATGAGCTAGAAGAAGTCCCGGTATGTTCACATTAGCCATGTTTTCGCCATATGTAGTAGATCTTTCATAAGGCCATCGATAAAAACAAGCCATGTAAACATAACTCTTCTGTGCCCAATACCACTTGAAATATTGAAGAAATCCGACGAACACCCTTGAAACACAATATATGCTCGTGCCAAAGTGTATGAATGCATGCTTAATCGCCAGCACCTTGAGTTTATGTCCATCTCAAACACTTTGCGTAACAACTATCTTGCCATATGCGGTCAGAAGACTTTAAGTTGTCCAAAAACGTTGCGTTAAGCGATGAATTAGAGTTGACGTAATGTTTCCTGTTCTCCTTCAGTGTCCATGCAGCCATCTGGGCTCCATTCTTCTTCAGGAAGTCAAACTGTAGAGCATCTGGAGGTCGTTTTCCTCAATCCATTGTTCTGTCCTATTAAGAATGATCTTTTCAAAGAGTTTTCCAATGGCCGATGTCAGTGTGATACCTCTGTAGTTCGAGGATCCGTTTTGTCCTTGCTATTTTGTTTGTGATGAGGAATGGGAAATCCCGTACAGTATGATTTAGGAACAAATTTTATATTTTTGCAGCATATTTCAGATGTTAGGTAGGATCTATATATGCCACGTTGAATGTACTTTTGTGACGCCAATAACATGCTTTTTGCAACATGTTGCTGTAAATTCTTCATTGATTTCGGTATTTCCACCCTCGCCTGCTTTAGACCATTTCATATTTGTTTTCCTGTCGTTCATATTTGGATAGTTTTGTCTATTTTGGAGAATGTGAATATTGCTTTGAATTGGATAGTGGTCTGATGTTCAAATGTAACATTCTGATCAGTTCGATGGTCCTCCACACAACCCCGTATGTATCCTGGAATAAGTACATAGTCATTTGTGGATCTTACTGGGTTGTCTTTTGATCTGTATGTACACGTTTGGGGCTCTGGTGAAATCGCAGATGTTGGGACTAGTTATCTTTTTAAAATCATTTTTTTAGTGAGTGAGTGAGTATGGTTTTACGCCGGTTTTAGCAATATTCCAGCAATATCCCGGCACGGGGATACACCAAATAGGCTTCACACATTGTACCCATGTCGCGAATCGAACCCGGGTCTTCGACGTGACGCGCCAACGCTTTTTTAGTAAGAGTTTGAATCCTGTACGGTATGGGTTTCTTATGTTTTGAATAACGTAGGTCACCAGCTAACATGCATGCTCCGTCCATCGAGTACTGCCTTATCAAGTGATACAGAATATTTTAAATTTTTCACTTTGTCCATTTAAGTCGGGTTCCAATTATGAAGGCATATATGTCACGATTATGTGATTACAAAATACTAAGCTATTATTGCACGAGAACACTTGCATCCGACTGATTTTACGTTTGAAGGGTGCAGTGCAAAACTAACCATTATTACACTACACATGGGGTAGAGCAAGGTTTTTTTTCTCAGATGCCGAATTGTTTTATTGGATATTGGTATAACGTCAAATCTGCCATAAGCAGCGTGGTAAATTGAAAATCAACGAAGGTAAAATAGTTAAGAGAAAATTAAAATTTGATAGAAAAGAGCTGTTCGGTTGAGCTGAAGTGGATTTGTGCTGTATCACAATACAATAATGACAAAACCACATATACCTCGAGTGATACAGCTACAACGACTTTATCTTGTCGACATATTTCTATCTGCCATTGTAAAATTATAAAAAACAAAACTGATATGTGAAAGAAAAGAACTGTTCGGATGTGTTTGGGTCAACTTCTGCTGTAGCACATGGCTTCAATTGACGTGCAGCTGCTTGGCTCGTAGCGGTGTAGGGTATAAGGGATTTATTCCCTGCTCAGAAATGTATAGCCGTCTCAAGCGGGTTACCTGATATTTTCTCAAGATAACATGAACCAATCAGATCTCAAAATTCTGACATGTTAAAGTTCATGTCAATTGTGTGTGACTAGTTTAAAGAAACTAAACTAAGCGGCAAAAGAAAGTATAGGTTGGCAATTTGTAATTTTCCTAAAAACAGCGATAACTAGTGGAAAGTGGGTATTGGGAATATTACTGCCCAGGAACAGGAACCAAAAAACACCTCACCCGAACGCGCCACCTTTCACGGCGCTCGTGCGGTGACAAAAAATGGTGCAACAGGTGGCATAAACTGCACGTGCATGTTAGCTGTATAAATGCGTTCGTCTGCAGGTTATAACCACACATGATGAAAGCACACAAAAGAAATGCCACGACTGTCACAGGAGCAGAGAGAGAGAGAGACATCGGTATGGCCGAAATGGGGGCAACACAGGTCCAAATTGCCAGAAGGTTTGGTTGTACACCATTGACAGTAGCCAGGCTGATTCAACGGTACAAGCAGACAGGGAGGACACAGGACAGGCCTAGAACCGGACGACCCCGAGTGACAACGCCACTGGAAGACGGTCACATACAGCTCATTCACCTGCGAAACAAGATTCGCAACGGCGACGGCGACGGCGACGGCAGCAACAGCGTTGAGACATCCCATTAGCCAACGTACAGTACTCCGACGACTTCGTGCTGCTGGAATCCGAGCGTATCGTCCTTTCCGAGGAATGGTACTGACTGCTCAACATCGACGCCTGAGACTGCGATGGGCGAGGCAGGTTCGACGCTGGCAAGTGAAAAATTGGCGTCGAGTGCTGTTTACTGATGAAAGTCGGTTTAACTTGTTTCGAAATGACGGCAGAGGACGAGTTTATCGACGCCGAGGGGAACGCTTGGCTCCGGTGTGTATTCGAGAGGCCCATTCATTCGGCGGGGGAGGTGTCATGGTGTGGGGCGGTATTTGTGGAGATCAGAAGACTGATTTGGTGATTATACAGGGAAACCTGAACGCTGTGCAGTACAGAGACCAAGTGTTGCAGCCAGTTGTGCTTCCGTTCTTACAAAACCAACAGCAGGAGACATTTTTTCAACACACCAATGCCAGGCCCCATACTGCAAGACAGGGTCGGAACTTTCTAAACCAGCAGAACGTTGACGTTTTGCCCTGGCCTGCCAACTCAACCGATATGAATCCTATTGAACATCTGCGGGACCATCTTGACAGACAGATTAGAGCACGCCATAAGCCTCCCGTCAACAGACAAGACTTGCAGCAGGCCCTGAGAGACGAGTGGCAACGGATTCCAGTCCACGTCATCAGAAGACTGACGTAATCGATGAGGCGGCGTATCACAGCATACATTGAGGCAGCTGGAGGTCACACACGCTATTGAAGGCAACTGCATCGACAATGAACTTGTAGTGTGTCTGGCAATTTTTTGGTGACATTTCAGACAACTTTTGAAAATGAAATGTCTTAACCCACCATCGTTTACCTTGAGCTTAAATTACCTGTGATTGCACAATTTTATTCAAACTGTGGTTGATCAATCATTTGTTACCCCTCCATAGATTATATTATAATTCAGAACAAAATCTCTTCTTGTTATTTTTTTATTGATCTTGGAACTCGACCTATACTTTCTTTTGCCGCCCAATTTATTTTACTAGCTCACTGATTGGTCATGTAGATTGCCTCGTAGCGGGATGTGAGAGATTTATTGTCCCACTGAGAAATCCACGTCCAGTCTGTCTTTATGGTTATGGTCAGTTTTCTTCACGGTAGGGTGTAAGGGATATATTTTCCGCTGCGATATGTATTGCCCTCTCCTCTCAGGCGGGTTACCTAGTACTTTATCAAGATCATGTTAACAAATCAGACCTTAACATTTTGACGTGAAAGTTTAAAGAAACTAAAATTGAGTGATAGTTATGACAGAACACTGTTACTAAGGATACGTTGGAGTACAAGGGAGGGACAGCGTCATGACATTAGCCCATTTTGGCGCAACTCATAAGGTGAACGTTATCACAGGATACAATGCAGTGGGCACCCTTGATTTTCCAGTGAACCCCTCTTTGAACAGCTAATACAGGTCCATTGTATGGCTATGATGTAAAACCCTATTGGGTTTCTAATACGGTTGAATTGTTTGACTCAAATGGACACCATCTATTTTTGCAGAACGCATCCGTAAGTGAATCCCCCGTTCAAGCTAAAATGCAAATTCTCAGTAAAACCCATACTGGAACACATGTTGAAACCGTTGGGAGAGATGAAACAATGGAGCTCAAGCATCAGCTCTATCACGGCAGCAATTATGGATTTCACAACCGAACGTTAATTGTCGGGACTCTGGAGGTATTTAGAATACACTTCATAATTTTGTTCTGAGGTGTTCAATGTAAACAGTGCACTTTAAGATAATATTGAGAACATCATTGACTTTCCTTTAAGGCTGTTTTTGAACTATGTATGGCAGGCATAGAAAGAGTGTAGCACAACTGCTGTTTTCTTTGTAAGCAAGCATTAAATTGCACCAATAAAGATGAGCCAACAAGCATTTCAAGGTTTAATTTTACACCGCATGTCAATATTATTTCGCAATCCCCTTCATTCTGACGCAGAAAATATGACGTCACTAACTATTGTAAAAAAGCTCCAAATGTCAAGTTCTTTGATGTCCCCATTTCAGTCTCGTACAGTAATGAACTTTCTCAACGATTTGACGCCTGTTTTTTCTTCAGGTGTTCATCTCCGTACGTTGTATTATAGTATGACATGATTGTGTATGTATGATGCGTTAACTGGCAATGCAGCCGGTACGTTCAACTAATGTCTTTTCAACCGCGAGAAACATTGTTTTTGGACCAACTATGACTTTTGTAGTCGTACCAGAGTAACAGAGTGCAATTTACATCGTAGAAATGTTTATACCTCCATGTTAACAACCATATATCTTTAAGTAAACTTGAAATTGATTGTGTCAAAACTTGTAAACAAATGTGGACGACTTTACTGCCTCCGTCGCTGTGTTCAAATAAGTGTAACAGCGTTCGCGGCAGTAAACACAACTCATTCGTGTTTTTAGAATTGTAACTCATATAAAAATATGGAAGGGTCTGCCTTAAGGGAAAATGGTTTGGTAACCAGGAAGTATACAAATTTCATACATATTACATATTTACTTTGACGTAAATTACACTCTGTCAGTGCACAATCTATTTAGTTCGTCGTACATGAAGACGTCAATCATCTGGGGCGTGAATCGAAGCTTTGTATTACCGACCGGAAGTTAACTTGTCAGCACATTTGTAAAAGTTCGCAGTTAGTCTAAATTGTACTGAAGGTGGACCCTGAAGGCTTCTATAAACTCACTTTTTATATCAATGTTTCAAATTTTAATTATGCTTTGCTATGTTTGTTAATCGCATTATGTTTATATATGTTATAAGTAACATGATCAGAAACATGTAAGAAATATGGTTTATTAAGTTTGTAAAAGAAATAGGCAATTGTTGAAATTCGTATTGGACAAGAGGAACATGAAATATTCGGGGCGAAGTATGTCATCACAATATTTTTTGTATTGATACAGTGGGCGCCATATGTGATCAAGAGAGTGGAGAGTGGCTCTGTCAGGTTCGACGGCCTTTGCATCCAACTGCTGCAGGAACTGGCCAAGCAACTCAATTTCAGGTTTCAGTTTTTTCAATGTTTATTATAATAATTATATATATACACGAATATAACTGTGCAAGGTAAAACCAAGGTTTACCATCACTTGTTGAACAGTTGTGACTGAAGTATCCGTGTGTTTGTTAGCTACACCCTCGTGGAGCCCGAAGATGGGGAGTGGAGTCGGATACTGAATGGGAGTTGGACGGGCCTGGTGAAGTTACTTGTTGACGAGGTATGTCACAGTCATAATTCACAGTAACATTAAGGGAATGTCGTGTGCTGGCATAAATATAAGGTCCAACGTCATAGGTCAATATTCTTATCATCGTTACTAATCCTGACCGAGTAAAACGTTACCTTTCAATTTGGTCGTGTACCAAATTTTCCCGACGGGTAACATCACATCACGTTGATGTAATGGTAACTAGTTCATATAAATGAACGCCTATGGGTTGATGTGATAAAACGTTTCAAATAATATCAGACTATGAGCCCATTTAAAGTTATTACGAGCAACTGTAAAACTGACACATTGAGAGAGGGAGAGAGAGAGCGATTCTTTATTTCCTCCAGATGTCATTCTGAAGATTACAATGAAATTATATTCAATTACACGCGGTTAACACAATAAAAAAAGGCATAGCATAATTACAATTACACACAAATTATCAAATTCAGATACCTCAATGAAGACAGATTATTCACTAAAAGATATATATCAAAAGATGTGTTAATCCAGATTGTGAGTAAATTTTGTTTCAGCCCCAAATAAGAATGATAACATATCTGTTTCGTCTTGCATTTCAAAATCAACATATATTTGAACGTCAAGTAAGTCAATGAGAGAAGGAAAAAACGCATTTCTTCTGATATAAGCGCTTCACAATGTAAAATAATGTGGCTGTCATAGTCGAAAGCATGCCTATTACAGAGCATGCACTCTTTCGAAAGTTTACTGCATGATGAGACTTTCCCCCAAAGTTGTAAAGCAGGTCGATATTCCGGGGACAGAAAAGCTAATTGCCAAAGTACATGGTATGTTAATTTCGTAAGAATTCTCTTATAACGGTACATACTTGCGTTTTTGATACATTAGTAAGCCATAATTGTTCTTCGTATTTGCATATAGTTTCATTAACACGATTTCTCCATTTCAATTTTGGAGGGAAAGTACCGGACTGAGTATATGCACGAAAGTAGGTACCCAGATTGTATTTATCAAGTTTTTATTTAAGTTCTCCACAGATTGTCTTTCAATTGACAGGGCTTGCAATGGACGCACACAAAAATATTTTATTACAGTTCAGATTGCATAGACGACCAAGAAATAAAGGTTTGCATTTATCAATATATGCAGTAATTGTCCAAAGTCCATAGTTCGCAGTAGTGGATTCTGAGGGAGACTTTTTACCAAGACCCTGTACAATGCGTGCAAAATATCTTTGCGTGCCTTCCAACAGAACGGGATGTTGACCATTGATATCATAGAGTAATTCCCATCCATAAAGACTGGTTTTGAGTATCATTCTGAGCCATATTTTCACGCTAGAAATTGGATGAAGATCATAACTATTTAATCCTAAAGATCTTAGGGAGTTAATATTTTGTCCTGCTTTCTGACAGTGTTTTCAATTCTTGTTTTACAAGACAGGTTATACGTTAAACGTATTCCACCCATATACCGTAGAATCAGTTGTAGTAATGTGTGTATTACCAAGTTTACAATGAAAATTATACCCCTTACGTAAAACACAATTATTGCACTTTTTGATGGATTATATGTTAGGCGCCACCTTGAGGCATATGTATGTACAATATCAAGGGATGTTTGTCAGCCTCTCTGTGGTGCGCATAAGTGTACTATAAGCCGCAAGCAAGACTGTAGGAATATCCATACCATATGCACGAATGCCACATTGTGCTTGTCTAAGGGTTCAAATGAGGTCATTTATAAAAACAAGAAAAAATCCAGCAGAGATTTCGCTGCCTTGTCCAATACCTTGCTGAACCATATATCTGTCTGATTGTTCACCTTGGTAGGAAATATAAGCATAACTATTTGTATAACAATGATGTAGTAATGTCCATGTAGTACCTCTAATGCCGAGTTTATGCAGTTTGTAAAATAATCCATCGTGCCATATCCTATCGAATGCTTTTCCATTATCTAAGAAAGCTGCATAGACTGCAGAGTCCCTTTGTATGTAATACTAAATGCCTTTGATCAAAGTAAATACAGACATAATAGCTGCATGTTCTTTTCTAAAACCAAACTGTAGCATATCAGGAAAGTCTGGGTTAAGCCTACATAGTTTGTCTTCTATTCGTTTGAGTAGTATTTTTTCAAAGAGCTTACAGAGACATGATGTTAGAGTAATACCTCTATAATATCGAGGATCAGATTTTTCATTCTTCCCCTTATATATTGGTATGACCATGCCAAGTCTATAATCATAGGGTATCTATTGTAGTTTCATCATATGATTCAAAAGTATACATAAGCTTAAGGAATAAATAAGATGTTCTCCTGCATAAATAATATGTTCGTTTGTTATCTTATCCGGACCTGGGGATTTATTCCTGCTGAGGGATTTGCTGGTCTCTCTTATCTCTTGACATGTAAATTCTTTTTCCAATTCCTCGTCAGGCCTCTCTCGTACTTATTTAAATATATGTACCTTACTTGTTATATCTTCTTAAAATACATCATCAAATCCTTCAGTATTGTAGGGTTTGTCTAAATCTGAAAATTATTTACCCCATAATCTGCAAATAGCTGAGCGTGTAGAACCACATTCATCCTTATAGTTAAGTATATGTATCTCGACCACCCGCCCTCGTTGTTGTCTAACAGTTTTATAAAAAGAGTTCATATCAAGTTCAGCTGACCTCTCAACTTCCTTTAGGGTATTCTTTTTGTTGGACCTTTTCGATTTTCAATAGAGGCGCAAATCTGAATTTCCTTGGTTTACCGTTTTTTAGCCATGCACGTCGAGCAACTCTCATATGGTACTGTGTATCATTTAGTCCATCAGGTTTAAAAAATGGTTTAAGATAGGGTTTATATTCACGTTCAGGGATACATTTAGAACTTGCAAATAAAAGGCTTTTACTTGTATGGTCGCTGTATGTGTGATTCAGGCTGACAAGACAGATTACAGCCATGAAAGGAGTTAAGATTTGTATCAAATTCACTTTGGTATATGAATATATCATCTTGATTTCCTTTGTTCCATTTTGGAATAGGGGAGTTAGTATTGAGATTATTTTTCGACCAAAGGCTCTCAATGACAGATAATAAACATGGGAGGTGATCTGACACCGTATAAGGGCATGTATCTATAACAGCATTAGTGAGTGAGTATGGTTTTACGGCACTTTTAGCAATATTCCAGAAATATGACCACTAGGCTACCCCACCGCACTATTAGCATTTAAATACGATGCGTCTACATATCAGATATTTAGTTACCAGACAAACAAAGTGGTATTTAACGAGTGACTGGGAGTGCCAATTGTTCTGAGCATAGTCCCCCTTTAATGTGCACAATTACAGCTTGTTTATTAATTAAGGAGTAAAAGTAGTTATTTTTCGCACTTACAGGAAGTTGATTTGGTTGTTGCACCGATGTCTGTGACAAAGAGCAGATCGACAGTCATCGACGTCACAGTGCCATTCTTCTACGTCAACTCAGCTCTTATATTCGGCAAACAAGATCCCAATACCAACAAATGGTTGACCCTACTCTCCCTGTTCCGCTATGAGGTTCTTATTTGTATCCTCGTCTCCCTCATCTTCTCGACTGTCTTCCTCTTTCTGATAGAAGAAGTGACACCTGTCCCTTCGTGGACTGACGACAGACCCACGGATATGCCGACCCGTTATGGGGATATACTCTGGTATCATTTTGGAGCCCTAATGGCGAACGGTAAATCAACATTGCTCAATAGCAAAGGTTCTAAAATGCCATTAAGTAAGCGAAGATTCTTTCTTATTATGGCAACACATGTTCATTTGAAAGCTACGTTGTTTTGTTATTCTTCACCATAAGAATGCAAACTTCCTGTCTCCGTAAAGGAACATCTGTCAATACATTTGTTGGCAACCTTTTATCTCTTTTCGTTTGACGTTGATGTGTAAAGCAACAAAAAAAGATACCACATTATGCATTATAACCTGATGAGACCGAATCACAGGTTGTACATGGCAGATGTAATTTATTGATTTTGATTTTCTGAAACATAGGTCGACCTGTTCCATGCACGACTCCATTGTGTTGTGTCTGTAATAAGGTTACCAGGCAAATACACATATAACAAGAAGCGAATGTGTGGAAGACAGGTTATTATACTGTTGCGACGTTCGGTGCAGATACTTGCACCTTTATACACAGGTGCATCGATGTTTAATAAAGCCTTGATTATTATTTCAGGAGGAGCATATCTCCCCAACACAGAGTCCGGACGTACAATGCTCAGCTTTTGGTGGCTGTTCACGGTGATAATGGCGGCTATCTACAGTGGTAATCTCATAGCCTTCCTCGCCGACGGACGAGAGAAACCTCCCTTCTCCAACCTGGCTGAGATGACGCAGCAGGACACCTACCGGTGGGGGTTTGTAGGAGGATCTGCATTGGTCACTCTCTTTCAGGTCAGTACATATACAATATGTATGAATTTGGCTTCACTCGAAACCGGATTTCCTGCGTGACGAGCCAAAAGACATTTAACCTGAAGTGCAACTAAGGCAGGTCATACACATTTACCAAACAAACTGACTTCTCTATTAACATATAACCATATGTTACCCAATTTGGAGCTCCAGCAACTGATTTATTCAGCGTGCTTTCCCATTTTGAGAACACTTTGTGGCACTGATTTTCAATCGTCCATTCATATAACTTTCTCAGCTATTTTGAATCTGCTTTGGTTAATAATCTTGAATGGTTAACCTCTTGCTTTGACATTTATATTCACTGTAGTGGCTGCATGAACTACTAGCACAACGTAAACAGTTTTCACAGATAATGATGATACTGAAATCGTAGTCATCTTCGAAAGGGGGGAATGAGATTATTAATAATATTTAATGATATATACAGAACCCATTGCCCATTTTCAGGAATCCAACATATCCGTCTATCAGAAAATATGGCAACATGTGGAGGTAAACGTGGCCAATGACCCTGATTGGTTGACTCAAGAGGGCGACGAGCACCTGCGCCGAGCGGCCGAGAGCAAGTACGTCTACCTCGCGGAAGAGTCTACATTGGAGATGTGGGACGGCCCACGGCGGTGTGCTTTACAAATGCTGAGCGACAACTTCTATTTCAGCAAATATGCAGTTGGACTACCAAAGGACAGTATATATACACAGCTCTTCTCCAAACAGTGAGTACAGGAGTTTTTATGTTTTGTTTTCCTCGTATTATTTGGATGCTTAAGAAACATTCGTAGTTTCCTCGCTTATAACATCTCTCTCACCTATAAAAAAACATCTTCTAAACAAGCCATCATCCAAGTATTTACGATGTCAGTGCATCTTTTATGCTGATCAAGATTAATCTGACTTACCATGCTATGATACTTCAACTTGACAACATATTGTTATTGAAGGATTAGCTGTGTCAGCAAGCGTCCCACCTGAATACTATCAATGACCTCATTTATTGCTTTTTCGCACCCATAACTCTTATATCTGCTAATAACAGTCAATGAACGATGTTAGGCCTCCCACATATATATCACATTGCGGCGATGTACATGTATTAAATGCTGTAACGTGTGGCGCACAGATACGTTTTTGCATAAATATCAGTTTGTTGTTACAAAAGAAGGTTGACATTATATCGCTATAAAATTACCATTTGCGTAAATCCTAGAAATAGATTGAGGGCATAGTTACATTATTAAACCGATTTCCGAATAGACGTTTGCGCATTCCTGTCGAGGAGGTTAATGCTGTGTACGTTTTATTCACTTTTGCAGAATATTGAAAATATATGAAAGCGGTCTCCTGCATATGTGGTGGAATCAATGGAAACCTAAACATCTGTGTGAGACACCAAGCAGAAAATCAAAGAGGATGGACATTTTAGCCTTGCAGAGCGCCTTCTATGGCGCAGGGGTGGGTGTGGCCATGGCACTCGTGGTCCTTATGATTGAAATCATTAATAACCGGAGATGTAAACAAAGAGAGCAAGGACAGTCTGTGAGTGTTGAAGAGTCAGTGTGCCCTGATAAGTCATCACAGGATCAATCCCACCAAGACACACCTTCTGGAACCTGAAGTACAACAGTGTTGTACAAGAAGGACCTTATGGAGGCTTGGCATATGTAACACTTTCTTGATGATATCAGCAGAAATGCATTGGCTTCAAGTATTAGACATGTCGACTATGTTGTAAGGTATTATCGTCCATTTGCATCGCTGTATCGTCTAGCAATCGGATGAAGGATCTCATCAGGATCAGTTTGAAAATCTGTCGTGTCAACGACAATCGTAAGCATCTGTGAATAGAACATACTGTCAAATACAACTGACATTTAATTTTTTTGTTATCACAAATTAGAAATGATCTACCCTGTCTGCATGAGGAGGCGTTGGAAGCTGGTTTGTTACAAGATTGGAACCCCTGCGAATTTGCCAAAATCCTTGTTGAAGGCTTCTTTCAGCAATGGTCTTACCTTTACAGCATGTTTCCGTCTCCTACGTATACAGCAGTCTGCTAACATCGACGTTTCAAAGCTGTCTTCAGTTGCAAGATTGTTAAAGGAACGACTCACTGTTGGTAATTATCAATACGTGACTGAGAATGTGAATCTTCACAATTTACCAAATACACGAGAATAATGTGAATCTCATCCTTTCTCTCGGTAAGGCGGGACATGCCTACCCTTTTTGTGAACACCTTCAGTGATTTTCAGTGATCCATTCTTATACTTTTCACAGCTATTTTGTCCTTTATTGCAAATGGAATCTGTTTTGGCGGATAATCAAAACTTGTTTTCTCTAATATTGACGTTTTATATTTACTTGAACTTGGTCGGTGTTTCTGTTGGTGGACTGAAGTCCCCGAGTTTCATCATAAGCGCAGAAGCATTTCTATGTTGAGACAACTACAAGAGAAATGTTTGGGCCTAGACAGTTTAACTGCAACAGAGTTTCCTATCATGACTGAGTTCTGCAAACAATGTACTCTATGTTTTGTTCCTACCAGCATAGCCTCCGTCTTTTCGTCATGTAACGTCAGCATATTGTGACATTCATGCTTTGACACTTGCAGAACATTCTTTTGTTTGCATGAGATCCTACTGTATGTCACAAGGCTTGAAACAGTTTATTAGTTGAGTGTCGTCTGGATGTATTAATGTCATATGAACAAATGGACTATAACAATTTAATAACAAATTGTTTAGCCAAATCACATGCAAAAGTATATCAAAATAATATCTGTGCATACCATCAATACCTTTTAGCAGCAGTGATATGAATGCAACCCTAGGATATTATCATAGAGATAGTAGGTGAAGTGAGTTGAAATTGGGTTTAACATGGTGTGTGTGTGTGTGTGTGTGTGTGTGTGTGTGTGTGTGTGTGTGTGTGTGTCTGCTTGTACTAGTCCGAATATATGCCGATTTTATAGTGTTGAGATGACCTGCCGCAGATTAAGATGGATATCCAACTCTTACGCATTATGCTCCGAACTCTGAGTGCCAGCAAACAGGCAGGGTAGTAACACAAAACATCTTTTAACGTCAGAGGATCCAACCACCGATCTTCCGTTATTGCTAATTGTATGGCGGATTTTAATTGATCATATGGTGACATGTATGGTCACCTGTCCTTTTCATCGGGTGTTTGAAGTGTCTAAACACATTGCTTTGCTTTTTAATTTTCTGATCAATCAAAAAAGTGGCAAATATATATATGCATACAAAAGATTTCTTTATCGATGTTGGCTACGTTCGATCGGAATGTTATTCTGATATGTATTGTAGAATATGGCATAGTGCAAGTTCACATTTATCTCTTACCACAAATGGAACACTTAATGTATATACGAAGGATATATCGGGAAAATCATATGTAAAACACAGATAAAAGTATTTGAAGAGTGAGGCAATGGCAAGAAAAATATTTTAACCTAAAAAAGGTTTCATTCATATGTTTTATCGTAGAGTGTGAAAATACGTTCTATTTCCAACTCCAACCGCAGCGAGTATTAGACCATATGGCACGGGGTAGAGAGCAACAGTGACGGAGACCCGGATTCAGACGGCGTCGATATTGACATACATTTGTGGGGCGTTATACAGACCGCTATGCGTTGTTTTATACTACCTTGAACTATGGCAAGACAAGAGTTGCGACTTACGTTCGTGAAATAACAGTTATACTTACAACAGTTTGCAGTGGGTCTTGCTAATAACACTACAACCACCGATATCTTTTCAACTGAGTGAGTAAGGTCAGAACAATTTCTTTATATATTTGCTTTGCTCTGTTGTTATCTTGACAGCTGTTTATATGCCACCAATGATAGAATGTCGGTCATAGGACATGTTTGATGTAGATGTTTCGTGATTTATGATCCATAATGATTTGTTTGGTTTTTTTCACAATGTGTCTCAATACTACGATTACTCACTAATGGTATGGCGAGGATCTGGCCAATTGGATATTTCTCATTCATATAATTCCTCATTTATTGTAATGAATTTGTTATGTACCGTGATGTTTAGTTTTAAACAATAACAGATACATTGTATTTGATAACTATAATGTGATGGTCTCGGTATTTGACTGTCCTTTGTTGACGGGTTTTACAATAGTCGAAATGTATTATTTGTCACCATTCATCTGCAAAGCTGCGAAATATGCTTCTATAAATTTAACTCACTTACTGAACTCACTCAAATCAAACTGTAGGTTCTATATTTAGACTTTCACACTTTCGCATATGTTAGTTAAAGCAACAAAACTCTTTTCATATTCATACAAAATCTCGAATCGATTGTGTGATTCCAACTGCATCATGAGCAGGTGTTATTGGATCATTTTATTGTGATGATACCAGGTGTTCGCGGAAAGGTGGGCATATCCTGCCCCACCTGTGGCACACATGACAAACACATGCAAAAGCAAGTCAATTGGTACGGTACTAGTCAAAATATGGAAATGCATAATTATTTTACTGATGCCTCAAATTTGGAAATGTTTTCCACATGTCTACCATGAAAACTTTTCAAAGCTTTACTGAGGCCTTGAGTGTTGTAACCTTGATCAAACAGCTTCTGAGCATGAGTTGTATGACGTTCTTTGAAATCGTGGTAGAACCAAATGCTGAAGCTGCAGGAATATTGCTCGACGGCCAGGGCAAGTCGTGGATTTTGGCATTATGAAGGTAGTCTACCGTGACGTGTGCGGTGGTGCGTTGTCCTGTTGAAACAGCTCCCTCTGGTGGTCAATGATTGAGAGAAGGTGAGGATGAAGAATTTGATTCATGTAGCGATTGCTGTCAAATTCCAAGGCTGCAGGGTATGGCACCAACGCAAGCGTCGCTGTCGATGGATCTGTTGCAACACAGGGACGATAACTGGTCTTCTGGGTCGAATTCCAGCCGCGCGAAGATGGGTCCTGACAGTCTGGTCCGACATCCTCCTCAAACCAGGGATGCGTCCTGCATTCTCCGTAGCTGTGGCATTGCGATGACGTAGGTGGAGCAGTCGAATGTAGCGATCCTGTGCAGGGGTGGTAACTCTTGGTCGGCCAGTTCTCGGACAGTCTGCAGTGGAATTGAACTGTGTTTATCGGTGACAAAGGCAGCAAATGGTGCTGTGAAGGACGTTGAAAAGGCGTTAAACAGAAGACTGCCATTCCCCTCTTTGGATACGTCCTATGGCGATGTTCCGATCGGCAGCGCTGAGTCTCGGCATTTTCGAACTTGAAAAATGTTGACAATTGAATGACAAATTATTGGCTTATGCTTGCCTTTTAATAGCCACTACCACGGGTTACGAATGCCATAACTTGCACGTGCATTTTGCTTTGCTGTTTTCCTCCGTGACATTTTTTACCATGTGTGAACACAATGACGTTTAAGACATTACAAATCGACAATGGCTGCGTTTTGACGCACCGTTTGTCGAATATCGGGCCACCAACATTTTCAAATAATATACGTCAAATTTATATACCGGATTGTTTGTGTAGTCGGGTTCAATGAATTACATACTAGTTGAGTTGGGTAAATACGTGGTAGGGAATTGGCTATCTGATGGTTAATGAACGGTATCAAATCGTCGATATACCTGAAGCTTAGGTTAAACTTCCTGGCTACATTACCTTGTTTCGACTATGCCAACCCGACCAAAAATTCTTATTCACATGCATAATCGCATCAGCAAGAACGGGAGCGTGGGATAGTAGTGTACAAACTTTAAAAATCAATATTTTGACAGAATTGACCCTGGTTCTTTTCTGAGATTGTGAAACGGTCAGGCAAATCCTTTGAAATTATGAGAATGCAGATTATATTAGTTCCACTGGTTTCATACTTTCTGTAAATATGTAGTACTTCCTTGATTGTATTGATAAAGAAATTCATCCTTCTTGGTTATCGGCTTTCTTACATTTTCGCAAACACATGATATCAACACTTTTTGATGTAATTTATAAATACATGCTTGTGATATAGTCGAAATCGGACTAACGACTCTGCTTTTAGAAGATATTTCTTATGAAAATGAAAAGGGTTTTGTTGCTTTTATTTTCTGCCAATAGTAGGATCGGTGAAGCAATTGTTATTCTTGTAATTTGTTTTGCATAACATTGTGTTAGTCAGTCATTTTGCCATGGAAAATAATTATATATTCTCATTAATAGCTGTTTGCAGTTGCCAGAGTATGTGTTTTTCATTTCATCAGTTAATATTTTGTAAGATAAATAACATGTTTGTTACTTTCTGTCGTTGAAAGCTATTTTGTATAATCAAGATGAAATTGATCTCATTTGTAAATTCACATCATGCTGTATTTGCGATCACATCAATAAAGTAATTAGTAAATCCTAATCGATGTTGCTGATACAAGGCGAGTGGATTCGCGACGATACGCTTTCTGCACAGTAAATGTCATCAATATCGTGAGCATATGATAGCATGAAAGGCGAGACGACATGTTTCTTTCGATCGACTATTAGACTATCAATATGACATTGAAATGAATGTGTATTTTGTCACATTTAGTTCAAACGTCCAACGAAATGATTACATTGTCGGTACGTACGTACGTATTTGCTGAGATATCAAATTACAGGCACATGAACTGAAGGGCAAAAGAAAGTAAGCACTTGAAAATTGGACTTGACAGTTCATATTGACATCGAATAAACATTTCGTTTTTAACCACTATCAAACATGGGTATGTAATTTGATTCGTCCAGCAGTTTACGTACGAAATGTATTTTATTTCTTAAACGCAAGAAAATACATTTGGCGGTCAATTTTAGGGTTGCACTATTGCTACACACCATTATTATCTTCTCGTATGTACACTAATAGTTCGTAAGTACATTCTTATTAATTCTAGGAAAAACAAAAACAGGAAAAACAATGAGGAGGTATCAGTTTTGTCCAGTTTACGAGAGTGATTCTATATATACTAAGCCCAATAAAATCATGTAACATCACATCAAGTTACGTACGTATATGCTGAGATATTATTGGTAAAGTATAATTCTAGCGTTGTGCATTATAATTCCAAATTTGTTGTCAAAGATATTTGCATGTTTGCATAGAATAGAACATAAATAAATTTATATTTCATTTTCGTTGCTGCATCCATACAAAACATATTAAGCAAAACGTTCACATTTAATGCCCAACAGGCTTTGCCATATTTTGTTCTAATGTACTGAAAATCATATGTAAAAATATTGTCTCTTTTATAAAACAATCTCAACCAAATATTTACAATTGTTACATAATATAACCTGTTTATAGAAGATGTATTCATAACACCTCTCGTCACTAAATTATGCGTACCCAACGTTTAGCCTCAGAGTACGTTTGCAAAGTCGATCATGTACAGGCGATGGATGAAGTCCCCAATTTTCTGCTCCAAGAGACATACGAGGCAATACCTTTTCATCGAAAATATGAAAAGAAACATTAGCTGTGAGTTATGACACATATCCAAGAGATGACAGTAATAAACTGTCCATGCTTGTTGTGACATGGTCGTATGTGTAAGATACAAGGAGCACCCACTCACTTATAACTGGGTTGGTTGGTTGGTTGGGTTGTTGTTTACGCCGCACTCAACAATATTCCAGCTATATGACGGCGGTCTGTAAAAAATCGAGTCTGGACCAGACAATCCAGTGATTAACATCATGCGCATCGATCCACGCAATTGGGATACGATGACATGCATCAACCAAGCCATCAGGCTGACCACCTGATCCCGATCGTCGCCTCTTTCGACAAGCACAGTCGCCTTTTATGGCAAGCATGGGTTGCTGAAGACCTATCCTTACCCGGAGGGTGGATTGTTATAATGAGTAGCAGTAGTGGTAGTAAAAGTAGTAGCATTAGTAGTATCTCAGCTATATCACAGCAGCCTTTAAATAATCGCGTCGACCAGACAATCCAGTGATCGATATTTGTAACAACGATCCACGCTGACCCGGGGTACGATCAGCCGCAATTAACCAAGTCGGAGTCACCTGTATATATACATATCAAAAGATTTTACTATGCATACGTTTAATCCTACTTGATGTATTGCAGGTCGTATAATATATTTAAACATGACAGCTGGACAGCTATTAATCATCAGACAAATCAAGTCTTTGTCTTCTCCTTAATATCAATGTGTGGAACAAACATTCAATTTCACATTTCACGCAGTAACACATTATGTGCAGACTTTCATAATTGCATATCACGAATAGTGTCGCGAGGCTGGCTCCGAACAATGGCGTTTCAGTGGTTACGTCAATAACAACTAAGCACATTTCCCAAAGGCCTTTATGGGTAATTAAAGTCAAGGTATTTGTACTAATTAAAATAATTATCTACCCCCCGCTGGCCAAAGCACAAATAATACATTTTTTAGAAAATCCTTTCTATTGATTCAACCATACTCAATTAGCCATATGGCGTCTGAAGTAGGTGCCTCTGTTTACATGACTTGGCAAGTAGTCGATCTACACAACCCGACTGACCGGTTTAAAAGATGAGAATACAAGAAACAGTGATATGTCAACGCCAGCAGTGTTCATTTCTTTGTCTACACTAGAATATTATATTCGGTTACACACGTCATCACGTCATACCTTACCTGTAAGGTAACCAGCGTTACTAGTGCTAATACTCCAAACGGATACGATATGATAACGGACGCTGCACATGTCGATAACGTTTGTCAAGGGATGTCAACCTGAAGGTATCAGACAGAAGAACATCGCTTTGAGGTTGCAATACGCGATCAGGTATAAGTTTGTGATCTGTTTATTACGCATGGCGTGGTCTTTTACATTGACTTTAGTCGTGTAACTGAATAGTTTATTTGTATCGACAGGCATCCATGTCGGCTTGGATGTTTGTCAAATGGATGCATGCAAGCAACAGCAGTAACAGCGTCTTTCGGGTGGTGAATATTAATCAACACTGGTGTCACTCTGGAGCTGGGATGTTGAGTCGATGATGTACACGGCAAAAGCCATCAGAATTTACACCGACATATGCTAATCGATGCTAGAAAGCGTTTCTTAACAGGTGTTATTTTTGGTATGTATAGGTTTACAACATATTATGGCCTGAGGAAAATAGCCGACTTCCTGTTTTAATTGACCAGTTTGAAAGAAATTATCAGGATTCGCCCAGACACACAGCCTCGGAACCAGACGCCTTTATGATGTCTTGGATTTGTACCTTGCAGTTGATCATCTTCATCATGTACACATCCTTGCACGTTTGGACACTGTCTCTGGGTAAGTTCAGTTCATTATGCTACTATTTCCTACAAATATATCTTGGTTTGGTTTCTTTGTTGTTTAACGCCGCACTCAGCAATATTCCAGCTGTATGACGGTGGTCTGTAAATCAATCGAGTCTGGAGCAGAAATTACAGTGATTGACATCATGAGCATCGATCCACTCAATTGGGATACGATGACATGCATCAACTTAGTCAGCGAGCCTGACCACCCGAGCCGTTCGTCGCCTCTTACGACAAGAATAGTCGCCTATCACGGCAAGCATGGGTTGCTGAAGATCTACCCTACCCCGGATCTTCACGGGTCTATCTTCATTCAGTATTGAGTATTTAGATCTGTCGAATTGGTAATGGGATGACATGTTTATCAAGCGCAATTGTACACTGACACCCGAGAAACATAATTTAAACTGACGTCCAAAAGAAACTTTACCAGAGTTTGAAATCACTCTTGCTCAAAAACAACAAAACATACATGCATTAAGTAAAGTTTATTAAGAAGATCAATCTATCAACATAATCAATACTGAAAATGACAATCATACCGCGACCGAGAATGACGTCAGAGACCCCCCAAAATAGGTGTGGTACAAAACTCGAGCTTTCAGAATCATGGACAATAGGCAGAGTACATAAACAATCGCTCACGTTCAATAACAAGTCATTAGTAGCGTGTGTGACCACCAAATACCTCAATACACGCAAAAAATCTTCGACGCACAGAAAAAGTCAGTCGTCTGATGAGGTCACGTTGGATTTGACGCCATTCTTCTTGGAGGGCCAAGATCAGTTCTTGACGGTTGGCTGGAGAGAGTGGTCGATGTCGAACACGACGATCCATGAAGTCCCAGAGGTGTTCTCTGGGGGACATGTCGGGTGAGCGTGCAGGCGACGGCAGGAGGTTGACGTTGTTGGCTGCGAGGAAGTTAGTGACAATTCTGGCTGTATGGGCTCTAGCGTTGTCATGCTGATAAATGACACCACGTGGCTGCTGTTGGAGAAATGGCAGGACAACTGGACGAAGGATGTTACCCATGTAACGCTGAGCTGTTGAGTTTCCGTCAACGATGACCAGCGGTGTCCTCTCCTGCCCACAGATCCCTCCCCACACCACGACACTCCCTCCACCATATGGTACGACGCAATCAAACGCAGACGACGATGTTGCGCTGTCAATAGCTGTCCTCTGTATGGTCTAAAAGCCCTGATTCCATGAGCCCTGAGTCTCCTGGCCACTGTCTGTCGACTAACCCTGTGCGCCGATGACGTCACTGTCAGGAAGCGATTTCGGAGGTGCAAGGTACGCAAGTACCGGTCATCATGGGGCGAAGTCACCCTGGGTCTGCCTGTTCTTGGCCTGTCAACGGTCCGCCCTGTCTGTCTGTCTGTAACGTTGCATCGAGTTGGTAACGGCAACACGGGAGCAACCGAAGGTTCGTGCAATATGGGCGTGGGTGGCTCCCATCTGTACCATACCCAAGGCTCGTTCACTTTGTTCGACTGTGAGTCGTGGCATTTCTTTTGTGTTTTTTTATCACTGTGGATGTCTGACTTGCCGTTGCAATCGTTTTATACCCTTACCCGCACGTGCATTTGCAGTTGTCCGTGGTGCACGTGTTTTTCACTTTTTCGCGTGTTATCTCGCAAACATGTAACAGACGATTAACATTTTCTGCATACACTATTGTTGTATTTAGGTTATGTGTTTCAGATAGACTTTATCGAAAAAATAAATTATACTTTGTCTGAAATTTATATTTTTAGTTGGTGATGTTTCTTTTAGACGTCAGTTTATTTACACCCTGGAAATGTGCTTTCGTTTTTTAATTCTGATGATACCCTTTCACCGTAATCAACCTGTAGTTTTAATAAAACCATTAGTACAATTTATAGAAAGATTATGTCTGTGAAACAGTAATATGTTGAATATGGTAGTCATTACTTATTTATTGTGTGTTTTCAGTGAGTAAAATGATATATTATTCTACTAGGTTCATGCATGTAATCGGTATACTTTTCTTACCAGATATCTTGCTGAATATCAAGGAGCATGATAAATGCCCCCATCCTGTGGTGTGCCATAGAAATGTTTCAGTCAATAGTCAGTTAAATGTGACCAACTGGCTGGTTTCAGCTGGGGACCAATTTACTGCGTCGAAGACAGGTAATATTTGTTACTTATTTAGAATATCGCTCAGTTATCACTTAACATGTTTACGCAGATCTGTTACTTTCTTTTCTAACGGCTGCACAAATAGACCCCAGAGGATGAACAACTTTAGTTTTAATATGACTGCTTCGACTAATTAAGTACTATATTAGTAATATTGGTACATACACTCTCCAAAACGGAAACGCACAGGTAGAGTTTTAGTAAACTTATTGTACCTAATAAAGTCTATATATTTAATTTAATATCATAGATACACAAATGAAATTTTGGAGCTCGATAGTCACATGTTGGCGTTGAACAAAGGCATTCACAACTGTTCATTGTCATGTCACATAAGGCCACAAGGTTTCGCTGAACTCAGTATCTCGTGTGACCACCCCGGGCAGTAATCACTGGATAAGTGTATGAATTCAGTACCGCGGAATTCTGCGCCATTCTGCTTGTAACGCGTTGGCCCGTTGTGGGAATGTCTGCGGCGTGTTTTGACATTGTCGTACACGTCGATCGAGTTCATCCCACAAGTGTTCGATTTAATTGAGGTCTTGAGATCTCGACGACCAGGGCAAGTCGCTGATGTTGGCATTATGAAGGTAGTCAGTCTTCCGTGACACGAACTGTGCGGTGGAGCATTGTCCTGTTGAAACAGCTCCCTCTGGCGGTCAATGATTAGGAGAAGGTGAAGTTGAAAAATTGGATTCATGTAGCGATTTGCTGTCAAATTTCCCAGAAACACAACCAAGTCAGATCGCGTGGTCTAGGATTTGTCCTCCCACACCATGACACTGCCGCCACCGAAATTGTCGAATTCACGTGCACATTTCGAAGACGATAAACACCTTGTCTTCCATCTCGCCGGTGAAGAAGAAATCGTGATTCATCGCTAAAGCACACTAACGCTAATGGGTATGGCACCAGCGCAAGCGTCGCTGTTGATGGATCTGTTGCAAAACAGGGACGATAACTGGTCTTCTGGGTCGGATTCCAGCCTCGCGAAGATGATTCCTGACAGTCTTGTCCGATATCCTCCTCAAACCAGGGATGCGTCCTGCAGTCTCCGTAGCTGTGGCACTGCGATGACGTAGGTGGAACAGTCGAATGTAGCGATCCTGTGCAGGGGTGGTAACTCTTGGTCGGCCGGTTCTCGGACAGTCTGCAGTGGAATTGAACTGTGTTTATCGGTGACAAAGGCAGCAAATGGTGCTGTGATGGACGTTGAAAAGGCGTCCGACAGAAGAGTGCCATTCCCCTCATTGGATACGCATTATGGCGATGTTCCGATCGGCAGCGCTGAGTCTCGGCATTTTCGAACTTGAAAAATGTTGACAATTGAATGACAAATTATTGGCTTATGCTTGCATTTTAATAACCACTACCACGGGTTACAAATGCCATAACTTGCAAGTGCATTTTGCTTAACTGTTTTCCTCCATGACATTTTTGAACAAGTGTGAAAACAATGCTGTTTAAGACATTACAAATCGACAATGGCTGCGTTTTGACGCACCGTTTGTCGAATATCAGGCCACCATAATTTTCCCATAACATACCCTGGTTTCTCCATTTTTCAACGGTGTAAGAGAATAATGTCATCGATTGCGGACTAATCAAAACCAAAACGTATCCTTTCATAATCCATTAATCAAGTGTTAAAACAGCTTACTTTGATTTGTTTATATATATTTTCGATGTTTCTCTCCGCCGGTGCAGCGATCGATTATGGCCGGCCTATATTTGTGTACACACAAGTGACGTCACCATTTTTCGACGACAACGTGTAACGCACGTAATGTATGGAAATATTTACTCACCATAAATCGGGAATGCCGACACTTAGTATTTGTCTTCATATGAATACTTGTAGCCCTTCAAAATCAACTAAACTTTGCAAATAACAACGTATATACAGTCTGAACACCATCTAGGCTTTATTCCTCATGTGATGTTGGCTGACAGTGGGGACAAAAGAATTCGCCATGTCTTCGTACAAATCGTACATGCTTGCAGAACTTCAAGTGCACCCAATGTCCACATGTAGGTCTCGTGCACTGAGCCCAATTCACAAAAGTTACATTTGTGCATTGCCTAAGTTCATCCGGCGTGAATTTGTCACAAACACAACACGTTTCACCATCTCCACTGTCGTCACTGTCGGAGGATTGTGAATCTTCAGTTATCACTGGCACTTGTCTAGGTGTTCTAGCCTTTCTTTTCCCCTTTCCTTTCGATCCATTTCCTTTTCCTTTGCGCTCTGTGCTTTCCTTTTCAGTTGTTATTTGATGACTGTTGATTGAAGTGGGCTTTTTTTTCTTTTGTGCTTCCTGATGTTCAATAAGTTTGTTAGTAACCTCATCTTCAGTAATGGGCTTCCCTCCAACGATTTTACTCATGGTTTTTCTGACTTTGGCTGTCTGGACATTCTCTAGAACCTCACCCCCTCTCTTCCCTAAGAAATCACGGGCTTGTGACAAATCTCCTGCTACTTCACAGAGTGTCTGCTGCTTGAATGTCATGGCTGGTGCTACTGCCTCATCTGTCACAACGTCTTTGTTATATGGAAAGATGCCAGATCGTCTGAATGAAGACAAGATGTTGTTGGGTGTTAATGTGCAGGCCAAAACTTTGCAGGCAATCTTGCAAACATCGTATCTGGTGATAGCTTTGCCTCCTGACTCTCGCAGATGTCTGTGGCATGCAGCTGTCCATCCAGCTTCGACAGGTCCATAGCACCCAATGTCGAGCGGTTGCAGCAGGTGGCTTGTATGAGGTGGCAACACAAATAGGACTATGTTGTGCTCTTTCGCCCATTGGATGAGTCCAAGTGAAACATGGCTTCTGTGTCCATCATACAGAACAAGCAAAGGAGAATCAGCACTGTCACTTTTAGCATACTTCGCAAAGTGAGTCTTCATGTAACTATTGAAGATATCAGTGTTGGACCATCCAGTCTCTGAAACAGTTCCATCAGCACCTGGTGTAGCTCCTGCCATCAAATCTTCTCTCATCCGTTGGCCAGGAAAAATGAAGAATGGTGGGATCGAACTGCCAGTCGCACTCACGGCACCAATCAAAGTTACTGTTTTGGACTTTCCAGTGGTTACTGCCTGGGGTTTACACTTCGACGATGATACTATTTTAGGAGGTGTGATATCGGTCTGTAAACCTTTCTCATCAATGTTGAAGATGTCTTGAGGTCTGTCTTGGAAACTGTGCTTTTTCATAATCTTGTCTAGCTCGATAAAATAGCTATCAACTGACTGCCGAGTAGCACATCTAGCTCTGGCGTATTCAAGTTTCCTGGGCTTCTGCACGCGAATATCAGGCCAACGTGAAAGAAAATTATACAGCCAACGTAAACTGAGAGGCGTGATTCTGTCCCTGTGTCCTAGATGGTGAGCATAATCAGTTGCCAAATTGATTGTTTCATGTCTGGTATAGCCGTACCCAATCTCACTCATGACTTTAATGTGATCAACAAGCAGGGACTCCTCCTCGTGTGTGAACATAGTGGTTTTGCCAGATTTAACGACATCAATATGGATTCTGCCTCTCACACGATCTTTCAAGGTAGTAATAGGAACCCCCCACCGTACTGCAGCTTGCTGAACAGGGACATTCTCCTCCAAAACTGTCATATATGAGTTGTGTAAGTCTTCCTGTGTATAGGACGACCTATATGACCCTCGAGCTGAAGGAAGTGGCTGCAAGTAATTAAACCCATTTATTGTACACAATATTTACTGTTTTTTGTTGCTATATCTTGCTATGTGACTCTTTTCAATTACAAAGAACACTGGTCGCGTAAAAGTAAATCTAACTGATGTAGGGAGTCAACAACGTATTGTTAAGTTCAGTAAGGATGGCCCAGTCAAGCTTTCGTACTTTTTTTAGCGGCCTGAGCGTGACGTCATTAGAAAGTGTGTATTTACTGAGACCATTGACAAGTGCTAGCAGACGATTGACTTTGGTGGGATTTTGACCGACTGACTTGATGAAATCTGACATTAAAAGTGAAGACTTTTTTGGAATAAGTAATCCTGGCTTTATATGCAGTGTGGTGTGTATTTTTTGTTTAACTTACCTTACGAATCTCCATTATCGGCAAAAAAAATTTTGCGAGATGCGGGGGTCGGGTTGTTGTTTACAACTCCCTGTGACCTCTGACCTCGCACGTGTTCTCGGAAAATAACGCGATAACATCGGCCGTCGAAAAATGGAGAACGTCGAATAATGGAGACGGGAGGATATATCCAATTCATATACCGGATTTCTTGTGTAGCCGGGTTCAGTAAACTACATACTACCAGTGCGTTTCTTTTTTTTTGGAGATTGTATCTCCTGTTGGCACAGTTACGGCAATACAGTGTTCATGAGTTTCAGTGAGATCGGTACATGGGGATGTGGTTGTCCTGGCGTCTCTCTCTCCCTGTCAGCATACCTTTAATCCCTCCTCCCACAGGGATTATCTCAACATCAGCCTCTGCTCCGTGGTCTGCCCCGACTTCCTTTCCAGCCATACAATATATATTCAATCAGTGTTCAGCGTCACAAACACAAAGCAGTCCTACTTTAATGCCCTTGTCAGACCCGATTCAATGGAGGTTGTCATGGAAGGCATTAACTTGATACTCGGTCATGCGAAGTGGAAGACGTTCGTTGTTATTGCTTCATCTTATGATGGTAAGAGCACGGCCGGATAATATACTCACAAGCAAAAGAAACGCAAATCGAGCATGCAGTATACATGATATTTATTTATCTTGTAAAGACAAGAAATACTAATAGGGCAAGATTGACAAAAAATTGACCGAGGACAGTTTAATGGATTAAAAGGCAGATGACATAATGGTTTTTTTTCAAATGTTAAGGGCTTACACAGTTTCGGGTCAACACCCAAAATGTCAGTCAATACCTGGTGTGAACACCATTAGCATTGATCACTGCCACACATCTCCTGTACATTGAGTGGATCAGACGATTTGTGAAGGCCCTAGGGATCCTCCTGCACACATCCAGAGCGGCTGTGAGTAGTTCATCGGCAGTTGTAGGGACTGGGCGCACATTGTGCAGACGCCTTTGAACCTCATCCCACATGTGTTCGATGGGGTTCAGATCAGGGCTGAGGGCCACGGTACAACACGGATGTTGTGTTGTTACAGAAAGGCCATGGTAGCTCTGGCGACATGGGGACGAGCGTTGTCCTGCTAGAATGTGTTGTTGATGTTGTGCAAAAAATGGAACAACGTGGGGTCTGATCACTTGGTCGATATACCGCTGAGCAGTGACGCCGTGTCCCCGACCTTGACCAACATTCAGAAAGCACATGGGTCAAAGTCTCGCATTAAGTACAATCCCTGCCCATATCATGACGCTAGGTCCACCCCATGGATCCCTTTCCACAACGTTTCTGCCAGAGAAATGATCACCTCGACGCCGCCACATTCTGACTCTTCCGTCTGCATGGGAGACACAAAAGCGACTCTCATCAGAGAAGATGACACGCCTCTACTCACGATGACGCCAATTGCGATGACCCTGTGCCCACTGAAGTCGTGCTTGTCGATGCCGTGGTTGGAGAACAGGACGATGTGCTGGTCGGCGACATCTGAGTTTGTTGGAACGGAGACGTCGGATCACAGTGTCCCGGCTAATGTGTCGATTATGTGTTGCTATGGTCTGTCGAGCACTTTCACTTGCAGTTAGGAACGGATGTCGCTGGTGTTGACGGGTAATCTGCCGATCTTGTCGAGGTGTGGTGACCCTAGGACGACCGCTCCGAGGAAGGTCATCTGTGGTCTGTGTAGCATTGTATCGACGCAGGAGACGGTAAATTGTGGTTATGTTAACGTTGAAATGACAGGCAGCATTTTGGACAGACTCTCAAGCTTCCAAACGTCCGATAGCCTGGTTTCTCTGAATTTGAGTTGGGCGTGGCATTGTTGACCAAGGAGTGGTAGGTCCAAGAATCGGCCACAGTTTTATACCCACCAGAGTTCGTGACAGTTCGTGCATTTTCGATTTCGCGAGAAATGGGTGCATGATACCCACATAATTCATTGAAATGGTCCGTTTTGGCGATTCGTTTTTTATGTTACGTTTTAACTCGGGGCTTCCAAAATGCAACCAAAAATATTGATAACACCATCAGGCTTCACTCCATGCTAAAACTCGTATCAATTTATGGTTCTGTGTTTGTTACCTATTTGCTTAAAACCACTTGGGTTTCTTTTGCGTGTGAGTATATACAGTATTCTCCTAAAGGAACATTTCTTGCAATTACAACAGTCAACTACGAATGTTATATACAATTCAGACATAACATACAATTATGGATATAGTATACAACTTCGAACACAATAGACAGTTACGGATATATTACACAAATAGGTATAACAATTGTCATTTAACCAAGCTATCGTACTGATAAGACGATTATAACTGACATACGTACGACAGTTATTAAGCTGGGCTATCAATTGAATAAGGCCATGTCACCTATATCCGAAATTGCCTAACTGCATGCAAGATCACTTGCATTAGATCTTTCCGTGTGGAGTAAAATATGTTTGGTTATATTCTATACTTCCCTTATAGCTTTCTCCGCTCGAAGTAAAACATTAACCATTTTACACTGAATGTATGATTCTTCCCTATTGACAATTATTTTAATACATGACGTAGGATAAAGATATGATTAATCTTGTAACTGACTATCCAATAAGAAAATCGGTGTTAAACATATCAGCAAAGAAAAATACGGATATAATACCTACCAAATTACGTTATTTACAGTTTTGACTGCACTATCTGGAGGTCGACTGGCTTCTCTCAAGTTACTGCTGTATATGATAGATGATCCCAAGAAGCCACAAGAAAGTATTGACCTCTCCAACATATACCAGCTACTTCCAGAGAAGGACCTCATCCTTCTTGCGATGTGTCCCTCCGATTGTATACAGAAGCTCCTCGCTCAGGTAGTGCCTGCAAACTGCTGGTATGTTTCCAGTTCAGTTTAACCAACAAGAATATTACATTGCTTTCTCAATGGAATGAGTTTGTTCCTTGAAACTCTTTCCAGTATCACAACATGAAGAAAATACATTATTATGCATATTACAATTCCAGAACGAGATTTTACTATGATCTACATCTACAGTAACCACAGGAAAGATTCCATTTCACAACACTATGGATAGGAATGCATAGTTTCTGAAGCTTTACACCTGTTGTAAGGAATATTAATGTGTGCTATTTCATTACCTATTTCTCAAATTTGCACAAGGATTTGAATTAGGCATAAGTGTATGGGATGTTTGTATGAAGATCATACAATCAATTCTGTACTGCATTGATGTTGCTTGGAAAAGGTGCATTAGGGAATGGGTACAGAATTGGTTGTTGATGTACATTACTGTTTATTGTCAGGCTCACTTCTTGGAATCGAACATGTCAATGGCGAAGGCAACTGGGTTCCCACAATGGCTGATGGTTCCTTCATCTGGAAGTGTCATGGACATTGCTCAGAGTCGTGAGCCAATAAAAATTGATGATGTTGTTTTCCTGGAGTTCACTCCGTGCTCTAAATATTATTCACCACTGGTAAGCAACTATGAGATGTGGGTGTATACTATAGCGTATGGATATGTATTTTCCATCCCCCCCCGAGGAAATGAGCTTATAAAAATACTTTCAATTGAATTCCTTCATCAGAATCAATACCCTTGTAAATTGAGTATATGTATTATTTATATGTAATGATGTGTTAGCTCCTGTCATATTTACAGAACCTGGAGAATATCACGAAGCGTTTGTCAAGCTTAGAAAGGACACATGTGACAGCCCAGGCGGCTGACAAAACAGAATGGATACAGAAGGTATCTCTTTTCAATATCAGAAGCTAGAGAGTGAACTATTTGTGGCCTCATTAACTTTTGGACAGGGTGATTAAATCCCAGGTTGCGATCTAACACATGTATGTCTGGCCCAAGTTGTATTCAGGCTTATAGTTCTGGTCAATACCTTAGAACTTTGTAAAACCCATTTATCAGCTCATATACGTTCACTACATAACTTGCGTGCGCTCATGCAGATGTGTGGTCTGCCTTCAGTTTTAAAGCATATACATTTCCATTATCTGACTACGGTGAAAAACCCCGTTGGTTCAGTAAAGAGTTGTATTACCTGACAAAGGTGTACAACTTTTATAACTATATAGTTCAAGCACCAGCATTTGAGTGCTTTTACGTTTGAATATTTCAGTGCAAAACTGTACATTATTACACTACACATCGGGTAGAGCAAGCTCTTGTACTGATCTTAGATGCCCAATTGAAGACAAACCACATGTTTTATTGGAGATGGGTTTAAAATCAAATCTATCTAAAGTAAAATAAATAAAACAAATTTGAAATTTGACAAACGAGCTTTTCGGTTGAGCTGATGATGGTAATGACAGAACACTGTAACCAAGGATACGAGGGAGGTAATTGACGTCAGCCCATTATGACGTAACGCAGAAAGTGTACGTTATCGCAATATAACATGCAGCTGGCGTCTTTGACTTCGCAGCGAAACCTCTTTGAACAGCTAACTCAGTTGTAATGTCTACGGTGTGAAACCCCATTGGTATGCTAATACGGGTGTATTGTTTGGTTTCGGTGCAAAACACCAGTGGTCAGCTAATACATTTGTATTATTTTGCATCTTATTTTGCAGAATGCAACAACAAGTGAATCCCCCGTTCAAGCTAAAATGCAAGTTCTCAGTAAAACCCATACTGGAACACATGTTGAAACCGTTGGCTATATTGGGAGAGATGAAACAGTGGAGCTCAAGCATCAGCTCTATCACGGGAGCAATTATGGATTTCACAACCGAACGTTAATTGTCGGGACTCTGGAGGTATTTAGAATAAACTTCATATTTGTTCTGCTTTGTCATGTAGTGTTTAGTGTAAACAGTGCACGTGAAGATCATATTGAGAACATCATTGATTTTCCGCCGTTTCCTTTGGCAGTTTGTTAATGTGTTGATTTATTCACCTGTGCGTCGTTAAGGCTTTTAGGTAACTATCATCTAAAACTATTTTAACTTGCTTTAAACCATGGTCCACGTGGAGAGACTTATATAGTGATTTACACATTTAATCAAAACGTTCTTGAATATTCTTTTTGACGTATGGTTATCAAAGCCTTTGAGGGTAACAAACCTTTTCAACGATTAGACGTGGTTGTCGTGCTTTACTTGTTTTTTCAGCAGAAACCTCCATACATTGATTTTCAGTGTGACATTAATGAATTATCGATTCGAAATGACATTTTTAGTCGTACCAGAGTACCAGAGTGCAATTTACATAATATCGTTAATATATTTATACCTACTTGCTCCCAACCATATATTTTTAAGTAAACTGAAATTCGATAGAAAATGTATTGTGTCAAAACTTGTAAACATGATGGGGTAGAGTTCACTGCCTCCGTCAATGCATTCAGTGAGTGAGTGAGTGATTTCAAATTTAATATCTTATTGGCATTATTTCAGCATTATAGCGACGAAAACAAATTGATATATACACAATTTAGTTATGAATACATAGTTATATTTGAAAGCCGCTGTGTTCAAACAAGGGTAACAGTGGTCGCGGCAGTAAACGCAGGTCCTTCGTGTTTTAAGACTTGTTAAGTAGAAGATTATGTTAGAAGGCGTCAATCCTTACCAACCGGATGTAAGCTTGCAGTGCATGTGTTACGTTCGCAATTAATACTGAAAGTGGACCCTGAAGCGTCTGTAAACCATAATTTTTAATGAGTGTTTCAAATTTAAATACTTCACAGCTATTTTGTTAATGGCAAAATAGTTTGATGTCATTAGTAACATGATCAGCAGCATGTTGTATGTGTAGAAGAAGTAGGTAATTGTTGAAATACATCATGGGACAAGAAGAACATGAAATAGTCGGGGCGAAGTAGGTCATCACAACTTTTTTTGTATTGATACAGTGGCCGCCATTTGTGATCAAGCGAGTGGAGAATGGTTTTGTCAGCTACGGCGGCCTTTGCATCCAGCTGTTGCAGGAACTGGCAAAACAACTCAATTTCAGGTTTCAGGTTTTCAATGTTTATATATAAACGTGCGTGTGTGCGTGTGTGTGTGCTATTACAAGGTGTAAAATTGGTTTTGCTTAATCATTCCACTACGGGTAAAACTAAGGTTTACTGGTATTTGTTGAACGGTTGTGACTGCACTAAGCTTGTCTTTGTTAGCTTCACCCTCCTGGAGCCAGGTGATAGGGAGTGGAGTCGGGTACTGAACGGCAGTTGGACGGGCCTGGTGAAGTTACTTACCAATGAGGTAACAGTCATAATACACAGTAACATTTAGGGTCTGTCCTGTGTGCTCACATAAATATAAGGTCCAACGTGACAGGTCAATATGCTAATCAATGTTAACACTGCTGATTGAGTTAAACGTTCCAGACGAGTAACATCATGTCACATTGACTTCATAATAACTACAGTTGATATGCATGAATCCTAATGGGCTGATATGATAAAACATTCAAATAATATCAGATTGGAAACCCATTTCAAATCTGTTAAAAGTAGAACTTATGACGAGCAACTGTAAAACCGGCACATTGTGTCTGTGTCATTAGCATAAGAATAAGATCGGTCTACATAACAAACATTTTGTTACCAGACAAACAAAGTGGTATTCAACGAGTTAATGTGGACACTTACAGCCTGTTTATTAATACAGGAGTAAAAGTAGTTGTTTTCGTACTTCCAGGAAGTTGATTTGGTTGTGGCACCGATGGCTGTGAGTAAGAGCAGATCGACAGTCATCGACTTCACAACGCCATACTTCTACGTCCAATCAGCTTTAATAATCGGCAAACAAGACCCAAATATCAACAAATGGTTGACCCTACTCGCCCTGTTCCGCTATGAGGTTCTTATTTGTATCCTCGTCTCCCTCATCTTCTCCACCGTCTTCCTCTTCCTCATAGAAGAAGTGACACCTGTCCATTCGTGGACAGAGGGCAGACCCACGGATATGCCGACCCGTTATGGGAATATACTCTGGTACCATTTTGGAGCTCTCATGGCGAATGGTAAATCAACATAGCTCAAAAGCAAAGGTTCTAAAATTCCATTAAGTATGCTTTGCTTTCTCATTGTGTTCACTCTAATACGTTCGTATTATTGCAACACATTTTCATTTGCACAACAACGTTCCTCCTTTATCTCCGTCACTGGTATGCAAACATACTATCTCCGTACAGGAGTATCTGTCAAGAGTGTCATTTGACATTGAAAGCGATAAAAAAGATACCATAAAATGCATATCACCTGATGAGACTAAATCGCAGGTTCTACATGGCGAATCATGTCATGCACCGATGGAATTGATTGATTTTGATTTTCTGAAACATAGGTCAGTCTGTTCCATGCACGACCCCATTGTTCCGTGTCTGTAATGAGGTTGCATATACACATATGATTACAACAAGCACATGTGTGGATGACAGCTTCGGTGCAGATACTAGCACCTTTGTACACAGGTGCATCGATGTTTATCAAAGCTTTTATCAATCCTCCAGGGGGAGCATATCTTCCCAACACAGAGTCCGGTCGTACAATGCTCAGCTGCTGGTGGATGTTCTCGGTGATAATGGCGGCTATCTACAGTGGAAATCTCATAGCCTTCCTCACCGACGGACGAGAGAAACCTCCCTTCTCCAACCTGGCTGAGATGGTGCAGCAGGACACATACCGATGGGGGTTTGTAGGAGGATCTGTATTGGTCACTCTCTTTCAGGTCAGTAAATTTACGTTATGTGTGAGTTTTTTGCATGACGAGCCAATTGATACAATCCATCTCAACCGAACATATTGACCAAACCAACTGACTCCTCTTTTTAAATATATAAACATATGTTACCAATCACACGTTCTATCAACTGATTTTATCATACAGTAGTGGCTGCATGAACTACTAGCACAACATAAACCTTTAGGCCAGGCTTTGACGACACTTTGCTCATAGTTATCTGTGAAAAATGCATGAGATGATGTATTATTAATTATGATCAATGATATATATTTCTAAATTTGAATTTTTTACGATATACGGCTTTTCTATTGGAGGAAAGGCCGTTTACTTGACCGCGAAGCTGACGTTCATAAGCGTATGAACGACACAATTGGTATTGTGTATTCTTAAAATGAATTACACACTAACGGACTACTTCCACATTCCTGGGGGGAAAAACGGTGATTACCTTGCACGAATACATACACAAGCGCTGCTTCCGAATAGTAAGACCCTACAATCTTAAACTCAGCGTTTTAGCATACATTGAGAAATGTCAGAGAGTTTGACTGCGTTCACGAATATCCTCGTTACGACCAATCCTTGTGAACAAAGTGTAGAAATATACATCCACCATCTAGTATCGATTCTATCCGTGTCCAGACTGACAGTGACAGTCCACAGCAATATATGAATTTACCTTAGCATCACATCTTTATAAACACCTTTAAATGGTCGACCCACTGATCAGTGATGATTAACACATGTAACAACAGGTTGACTAACAACTTCCGAAATCTCTCCCGTCACGTTTATCGTGTCAGCCATTTTGACGTCTTGTACCAAATGTATTACAACGCGGTGTCATTGTGACTGACTTACTGAGGCAGTTCTTAACATATCTTTCTCATCCATTGATGATATTACAAACTACAACAGATGGTCCTGTAAAGCAAATTGATAAAACATACGCTTATGTCACCTCTCCTTTTGGGGAACTATTTTATTTCGCAAAACAGCTGGTTGTTGTATGACTGTCGGTGTTAACATGAAGTCACACGTCCTACATAAAAGTGTGTTGTGATCTAGGCCGACATTCTATGAGGTAAAAATAGTGATATAACAAATTATAAACATTGACTTTGACATTGTGTGAGTTATGAACCTAAATAGAGTGAGTCGCAATCTCCGATGTTCATACAGTTTGGCCTTCGCTCTATGAAGGTTCATACTCCAATGAATTCACATAGAGTCAACGTCATTCCTTAAATATGGAACCTATGCCCTTTTTCAGGAATCCAACATCTCCGTCTATCAGAAGATATGGCATCGTGTGGAGGATATCACGACCAACGACCCTGATTGGTTGAGTAAAGAGGGCGACGAGCACCTGCGCCGAGCGGCCGAGAGCCAGTACGTCTACATCGCAGAAGAGTCTACTTTGGAGATGTGGGACGACCCACGGCGGTGTGATTTACAAATGCTAAGCGACAACTTCTATTTCGGCAAATATGCAGTTGGCCTACCCAAACACAGTTTATACACACAGCTATTCTCTAAACAGTGAGTACATGATGTGCTGAATCTTTGTTTTGTTATCCTTGTAGTTTTTCAGACGCTTAGAAACATTCGTGGTTTTCTCACTAAACACATGAACTGCTGTAAAATATAACTCACCTATAAAAGACAACTTTATTTCTTGAAAACACATCATCATCCAAATACTAACAATGTCGGTGTCACGCGCATCACTCGCTGAAGTCCGAGAAATAGCCGAGGTGAGTAGGTGATGTGGCGGTGAGTGACTCGGAATGTATCTAATTCTTATCAAGACTTATCTTCAAGATGTTTAAATGTGCTGAACCTACCATGCTGTGATACTTGACAACATTGTTTTTGAATGAGCAGCTGCCACCTGGATACTTTCTATGGCCTCATTTCATGCTGTTTCACACCCATACATTCATTTAAATCTTATATCGCTTTAATACAGTCAACGGTATTTTGCCTCTCCAATGCAGGTTAAAGTGCTATAACACAGGGCGTACAAATGGATATTTGCATAAATATCATTTTGTTGTTTTGTAAGTACAATCCACACCTCTACAAAAAGAAAATCTCAATAAATCATAGAAACATATTGATGGAGTAATTACATAAGTAATCCGGTGTCCGAATAGACGTTTGAGCAAGCAAGTTGAGGAGGAGGATAGTCTTGCATATGTTCTGTTCACTTTTGCAGAATATTGAAAATATATGAAAGCGGCCTCCTGCATATGTGGTGGAATCAATGGAAACCCAAACAATGTGAGCCACCAAGCAGAAAATCGAAGAGGATGGACATCTTAGCCTTGCAGAGCGCTTTCTATGGCGCAGGGGTGGGTGTGGCCATGGCACTCGTGGTCCTTATGATTGAAATCATTAATAACCGGAGATGTAAACAAAGAGAGCAAGGACAGTCTGAGAGTGTTGAAGAGTCAGTTTGCCCTGATAACTCATCCCAGGATCAATCCTACCAAGACACACCTTCCACCACCTGACGTACACCAATCTTGCACAAGAAGGACCTTTTGGAGGCTTGGCATATGTTACCCCATTTTGATCATATCTGTTGAAATGCATTGGCCAAAGTTTAACTTAACAGTTACTGTTCTCTGTCCGTTTGGGTTTTATATGACAAGATCATCAGTGAAATGGTCATGGAACCACTTTTGATGTTGATCGTTGTTTTCTGTCAGGGATGGTCTTCACAGTACCAAATATGACACACACAGTCAATACAATGCACTACTCTAACCTGGAAAAATACTTAAGCTTCAGAACATAATTTACGCAGAAGATACATGTGTATGTATATATGTTATAAATGCCATAAGTGGAGGAAGGTAGAATTCCGTGGAACTCCCCAGTTTGTCATTTATAAGCTGCAAATGAATATTGTTTTAATAACAATTTTAAGATTATGTAAATCAGTTAACATTGTATAAGTGAACCGATATTAATCGTTCGTGTTATGAACTATTATAACATTACATTTCTCTTGTTAAATAAAACTTGTTACAAGCAAATTCTATAGGTTTGTTACCCTTTGAATCATGTAGCTATTATGTTTTTGTTTCTCAAAACTAATATGTTGAGTGAGTAGAAACTATAATATATATTATGGTGCATAAGTGAGTACGCTGCTTCAAGCAAAATAATGCAAGGACATTCCAACCGATCAATGCCTCAACCGATTCCCATCATGCATTATCAGCAAATGGGTGAGTTAATATTTAACATCGGATCCAGGCAGAAGACCCGATCAACATGTGCCTTTGTGTGCAGAGTCAATACGTTGATGTTGTCATACTTCTCGAAACCTTTCCACTGGGTCCTTTATGATGATGGCATCGATATCGATCGGACATAATCAAGGCAACTTTGGGAACCAAGTTAAACGTCTTGACCGAATTCCCTAGGTTTAATTTTGCCAAACCGAGAAGAAGCTTAGGGGAGGTTGCACGGGTGGCCCAGTCGTCTAAGGTGTCGCGATTTGCTGTGCAGAGTTGCTTCCTTGGACACGCCAGAAACCTATGATTGTTGGCTCGAATCCCGGTTCATCCCAATTATGTTTCTAGGTTCGTCAGCACCATAACCGTGCTCGTGGGCTTCACCGAAGTGGTAAAGGTCTAAGACTGCATCACTTCGGGCTTTCTCCCACATTAAGCTGACACGCCGCGATATAACTGGAATACTGTTAAAAGAGGCGTTAAACCCAACTCACTCACTCAGTGGTCATCACATAATTTTCACACCTATTTGGCACTTTACGCCAAATGGAATCTGTTTCGGCGGATGATCTAGACAGGTTATTCTCTTGGATTGACAATTTATATTTTCTCAGTACACTGCAGATGACATTGCATTTCATCTTGGAACAATTGACATTACGCTTTGACGGCGGAACTGTAACTATACCTATGGTCATCACGTTGAGTGGTAAAAGCCCCATGGATCAAGGAATGAAGTATTTCCTCACGACATTTGCTGGTAAGCTCGTACGGTATCTAGTAAATATGTCTCGTCATTAACACGCAAAAAACATTAAAGAGACAACGTCTTACGTCTTATGGCGGTTCGATTCCACTTTGAATAGAACCTTTGTAATATCAGCGAGTGTGAGCTTATTGCTTTAGATTTAAAATGTCAATGCAAGAGAATACAGGGCAAATAGCGGTGAAACATATATAAATGGACCACTGAAAATGAGTGAGACTTCATACCTGTGAAGATCAGGGACAGAATAGGTCCTCAGCAACCCATGCTTGCCGCCGTAAATGGCGACTATGCTTGTCGTAGAAGGCGACTAAAGGGATCGGATGATCAGACTCGCAGACTTGGTTGATGCATGTCATCGTATCCCAATTGCGTGGATCGATGTTCATGATGTCAATCACTAGATTATCTGCTCCAGACACGATTATTTACGGACCGCCGTCATATAGCTGGAATATTGCTGAGTGTGGCGTTAAACAACAAATATTTTTTTTAATTTGAAGTTTATAAGATATACGTCTTTTCAAGTGGACGAGAGGTCGGTCACCTGACCGCGAAATTGACGTTCATTAGTGTATGAACGACACAATTTCACGTTCATACGTTTTTCACGAGACCTTGTTCTTGAAATGACGTAAACACTGACGGACTACTTCAACATTCCTGGGGAAACCCCTTGGAATTCCCTAGCGCGAATATGTACAGAAGCGTCCTTTCTGATCATTTAGACGCTTTAATCTTGAACTCAGCGTTTTAGTATACATTGAGAAACGTCAGAGTTTGACTGCATGATCGTTCACGAATATCCTCGCTATTACCCATCCTAGTGAACAAAACGAAGCAATGGACACCAAAACTGTGGTATTATCGACTCGATCCGTGTCTAGGCTGGCAGTGACTACAGCAATCTATGACTTTACCTTAGTAAAATTCGACACATCTTTAATCACCTTTCAATGATCGGCCAATTGATTAATGATGACTAAACATGTAACCGCCATAGGTTCATTAGCAACTTCCGAAATCTCTCCCGTCACGTTTATCGTGTCGGCCATTTTGACGTCTTGTACTTAAAATGTAAATGTATGGCTGTCAATGTAAACATAAAGTCACACGTACTAAATTAAATGTATCTTTGAGGTAAGAAATTGTGATAAAAAAATATCAGATTTGACTTTCGTTCATACGCTTTGGCACTCACTCTATGAAGATTCATATCCCAAAGGAACTCACACAAAGTGAAAGTCAATTCTTAAACAAACAAACAAACGAACAAACAGTGAGACTTTAGGTGTTAAAGCAAACGCTTCAAGCACAAGGATACCCACGCCGCCTTCCACTTTGATGAAGTAATAGTGCATGAAGATGGGGGGAACTAGTAATCCTGCCGGCCTGGGCGGCAATTAGTGATGCTTTCATAGCGTTTCCGCCAGCACAACGAGAATTTCAGTGTCAAGAAGAGCTGAGTCAAAAAGAGTTGTCTCCCGTTCTGTGACTGTGGCGAGATTTACAGGTCAGGTGGGGTGAAATGGGGTTTAATATAGCGACCAAGATTATTGCACTTATATAGCAACGTGCATGCACGTGTTTGTGTGTGTGTGGCTGCTTGTACTAGTCCAGACTGATGCCGGTTTTAAAGTGCTGACCCACTGAGATAACATGCCTCAGTTTAACATGAATGCCTCACCCAGACACAGTATACTGACTCCGAGCCGACCAGTCCTTGTTTTAGCCCCTTAATGCCGAGCGCAAGACAGGATAACATGTCAGGGTACCATCTTTAAACGTCTTTTGGAATGACGCGGCGGGGATCGAACCCCGGACCTTCCGCTCTCCGGGCGGACGCTCTACCACTAGACCACGGAGGCGGTCAGAGATTAAAAGACATTCTTGAGATAACCTGAGCTCGGAAGGAGTATTGATATGACCATGGAGATGGGGATGGGGCCAGGCCAATACTATTTAAGGCGTTTGTCCCTCATACCAGTGTCTTACAAAGCGAAATACCCAATCTCAAACAATCATACGTGTAATACTGCAATAGCAAATGCAAAAAACTAACATCGATTGGATGAATTGTCCTGCCCAGACTCAATAAGTTACAGATATATAGCTGGAATATTGCGGCGTTAAACAACAAACAAACAAATATCTTGAAAGAATTTACTATAATTCTGCTGGACGTATTGCACTCAGAGAAGCGAGACGTACATAATATTCAAACATGATATAAACCAAATCCGCTCCCAAAAATCAAACAAATCAGACTTTCGTAATACCAAATGTATGTAAACAGGAGTAGCGGGACATTATTATCTCAATTCTAGCTATAATGTGTATGTTCCTTCGACTTTCCTTCATCCTCAAATAAACGTCAATCAATGTCAATTCCTCATTTCACGTCTTCGTAATTACTTGCCAAGAATAACGTCGCGAGGCTGGCACCGAACAATGGCGTATCATTGGTTACGTGAATAAAACCCTGCACATTTCCCGAGAGATTTTACGCGTAGTTAAAGACAGTGTATTTGTGCGGATTGAAATAGTCTTCAACAAACAAAAGCACAAAGAATACAGTCTAAAGAAATCTCAACGAAGTCATAAATAATTTCTCTTAATTTAACAAAATGTCATTTTCCGTATGCCGTGTCAAGTAGGTGAATGTGTTAGTATCGACTTAGTGATTAGTCTGTGTGATCTTCACACCTTGACAAACCAGATTGAAACGAGTATACATGACACGGTGACATGTTCAACACCAGAAATATCACTTCTATGTGGATACCAGAGTACTCACATAAGCACGTCATAATATATAAGTTCTATATATAGTTTTAATCAAACTAACATTTTTTTCACTTGCTTTTCAATACACTTCTCATATCGACAGTGAAGCTTTCTGAAACCACCCTGAAAAACTCATTCACGGCATCTCTGAGGTCATCGTTGTCGTCATACCGCTTTCCACGAAAGTTTCAGTTTAGGAAACGGGGAAATCACTGGGTGCCAGGGGGTGAAGAAGCTCTTCGAACCCACATTGTCGCACAGCAGTCTTTGCAAGTCGATTGGTGAGAGAAGAGGAATTGTCATGAAATAGTAGAACTCCAGCAGTCAGCATTCCTCGCCACTTTTCTTAGATAGAATATCTCAGGCGATGAAGCAAATCAGCATAGTAGACACCGGTAATTAGCTTTTCACTTTCTATGTTATTTGTTTTGTTTGTTGTTAAATCCCGCACTTAGCAATGTTCCGGCCATATGGCGGCGGTCTGTAAATAATCGAGTCTGGACCAGGCGATCTAGTGATTGACACAATGGGCACCAATCCACACAAGTCGGCGAGCCTGACCACCAGATCCCGTCAGGCGCCTCCTTACGACAAGCATAGTCGCCCTTTACGGCAAGCATTGGTTGCTGAAGACCTATTCTACCCTGGATCTTCACAGGTCCAGAAGTATATTAAGTCTATTTATTAGATATTATTAAGATAAGGCAAAAGAAAGTATAGGTTGGCAATTTGTAATTTTCCTAAAAACAGCGATAACTAGTGGAAAGTGGGTATTGTGAATATGACTGCCCAGGAACAGGTACCAAAAAAACACCTCACCCGAACGCGCCACCTTAGACAGCGCTCGTGCGGTGACAAAAAAATGGTGAAACAGGTTTCCCGCCTATGGCATAAGCTGCACGTGCATGTTAGCTGTATAAATGCGATTGTCTGCAGGGTATGACCACACGTGATGAAAGCACACAAAAGAAAGTCCACGACTGTCACAGGAGCAGAGAGAGAGAGAGCCATCGGTATGGCCGAAATGGGGGCAACACAGGTCCAAATTGCCAGAAGGTTTGGTTGTACTCCATTGACAGTAGCCAGGTTGATTCAACGGTACAGGCAGACAGGGAGGTCACAGGGCAGGCCTAGAACCGGACGACCCCGAGTGACAACACCACTGGAAGACGGTCAGATACGGCTCATTCACCTTCGTAACCACGACGGCGATGGCAGCAACAGCGTTGGGAC